AGGTTGTATCGAAATATATTTAAAGGGGAAATGTGACAAACATATCGAGAGCACAAAAAATGAAGATTTTTTTTCCTGTTGACATATAAGTAGACTATGTTGTATTCATTTCTCTTTAATACACTGCTTTACTAACATATTCAAATGTTATGCATACTTTTCAAACAAAGATTGTTCTTGACCACCTGAAATATCGCCCAACATAGCACCACGAAATGTATGTGCAGACTTGATTCCATGTATTGTAGTTCATCCCTAATAACAGGTTAATGGAATATCTCTTCACTATAGGTCCCCAGGAAAGAAACAGGCATAAATTTGAATATGTTAGTAAACCGGTCTATTGTGTATGCTATTTTCGTAATGTAACCAAATTTAATGCATAAGTCTTTGTGAAGTTCCTCAATACAAATTATTTCATTCACCTTAAAGAATAATAGTATTTCAATAGTCAGAATGCAAACTGCATATATTACGTGTTGCTAGGTAGGTCAAGCCATAGTGTTTGTCCTACCTGGCAGTTGAATGTATGCAGTTCGAATTCTGTCTATTAAAATACTTTTTTTCTTATCAGGTGAATTAAATAAATTGTATTGAGGCACTTCACAAAGATGTATGCGTTAAATTTGGTTACATTACGAAAAAGGCCTATTGAAACTTACGCATTTGCACATACTCCGTCTTTAAACTGTATTTGATTTTAAATCGAATTTCCGAGGGTAGCTTTTACTATAAGAAATAATGAACAATAGATTTTATCAATGTATGTGTTTAACACAAGTTGATAAAAATGTCTGCTTAAGATAACGATGATAAGTTTACTTGTGAACATTTGCATTGATTTCCAGGGGTTCCACTGACTCCTTGCAAACTAAATATTTACAGGAGCACCAGTTAATTACAGCAATCAATGTTACATACAAACAATTCCGAGGTGGCGTCATGGCCCAGTGGTATGGTAGTGGTCTCGTAACTGGGAGGTCCCAGGTTCGGAACCAAGTCGATGTGTTAGTGCTCTTTAGTAAGGCATTAATCCTCATTACCAAGTCCCTAAGAGGGGACTTAAAGCTGTCGGTCCATGGCTGATTGATACTCACAAGCAAACACATATTTTACTAATAGTAGCCAGGTAAAAACAAAACATTAATTTTCATTACCACGTAATTCAATTCAATGTATTTGGATTTGCTCAATACAATGGTTTCCATTGTGTATTTGATAATTTAATACGGTACATCGAATTCTTAAAAGTTTATGAGCTTGCACTTATTTACTATACTAAGTACCTAGCCTTTTTCCCTATATAATCATGACCTTGTGTTTCCCACATTAAAAGATATTAGCTTTTTTGGTAAGAATATTATTTCTAAATTGATAGACGATTTTGACACAAAATTCATGGAGAATTTTCTCGTTGCATCGTATTATGCCTAGATTCAAAATTTCCAAGCAGTTTCATTGTTAGGCTTATTCGATACTTCTAACTCGCGATTATGTATTTTTGAAGCATACACCTTCTTTTTTAAAGATCGTTTTAATTTGTTTAGGATATTAAAAACATGACTACATTATCATGATTATCTTGAAATCACACGTTTACTACTTGATACTTTAGTTTTCCATCAATGAAAAGAAAATTCAACTTTGAGAAATAAACGGTTACTTTAATATGAGGCTCAAAGTGATATTGTATTTATTCTATTTTATTATACCGCCGCGACCAATTTATCTCATTGACATATTTCTAGCTATTTAAAACGTCATTATTTTCTCTTTAAATTTATCAAAACAATCTCATTTGTCTAATAACTTCCTAACTAGATGATCCTCAGGCGACATCACCACAAAGTAAACTCATTTTCCCTATTTCACTTGACAAATACACTCCACTTTGAGCTGACAAAGCTTACGACTTACGCAGCCAATGCCTAAGTGAGTCACAAAGCTCGTTAGGACGATGCAAAGTGATATTTTATGAACTGTCTAAAAGAAATTACGCTCATAAACCAAGTGATCTATTCCTAATACTCCCTCAAGTGTGGACTCTAGTGTGTTTGTATCGTCAGTAATAAGAGTTAATCTGCATTTACTTTAATAAGTGTTATGGCCGTAAACTGATGAGTCCACGTAGAGCCTTAAAGTAAGCAAGAGAGGTTTACACAGTGTCTGGGGTTTTGGATACAGGTGTAAAGCATGCAGGGGTGTACAGGGTTACCTCGATGCAGGGGTGTAGCGTACGTCCAGGCATTGGCGTGGGGGGGGGGGGGGACTGGTGTAACAGAAGGCTAAGGTATTACTAGCCGGAAGAAAAGCGAGAGAACGAGGCGATGGAGTGATGGCAGGTGATGGAAAGGGTTTGGAGAAGAGTCGTATTATCTCATTTGCATGTTCCTTTTTCCTGGCCCCTTTCTTTCCGTTCTCTCATTTCCCTCTTTATCTCTCTTTTACCCCCTTTCCCCCTGTATGTCCTTTGAATGGCGGGCAATTGTTCCCGTTCCACCTTAGATACGCTATTGCATCGATGGATAGAGGGACCAAGACAAGTCTACCGATGGTAACAAATGCAGGGACCCAAAGTCATCAGATTAAAAGTTGAAATTAAACCAAATGAGATGAAATAGTCTGGAAATATAATCTATTCTTAAATTGATTATAAGCGTCTAGAATTTCAATTTTTACCAATAAATTTGATGAACAATTTTGTGCGTTTTTTTCTTCAAATTTATAGTTATTTCAATTGGCATCATTAACTAAAAAAAGGGGTAGAAACCTACCCCTCTACCTTGTTTTTGCGGATCCCCAGATTATGGTATCGCTATTCGGTATATTGCTCTCAGTGTATTTAGTGTTAAGACAATGCCAAAGTACAGTCATAGTAAAGGTTAAAAATACTGCTACTGCTTGCGAGATTGTATGTGCATTTGATTGGTTGAACGCTCTTCGGGTATTAGTCCACAGATCACTCAGCTAAACTTGATTATGGCCAGCCTAATGATCGGTGAACACAGTGAACCCTCTCATCATTGAGAGTAATCAAACTATTCCGTTTGAAGGGATCGTTTAACAATGTTAAATCTGAGATACACGGTCCTATATGTTACCAATGTTTGTGATACGGTGTAATATTGAAGCCCTAAAAAAATCGCGCTTCAAAATGATCAAGAAGTGCCTCAAAAAAGTAAAAAAAAATCTTTGAGTGACCGGTTTTACCATACTCGTTTTCCCCAATAGACTGTAGTGTTATGAAAACCGTTCGGCGAACGGTTTTCAAAATTTGTAATTCCAATCATTAATATCTTGATAATCAGACAGGCGATCGGCTTGTAAAAGTCATGGGGTTCCTGACTGACCTAAAGGTTTATAATTATCATTGCAGCATGAGCTAAATCAAGGATTATTTCTAAAGGATCTAAGACAAAGTTACCGGATCCCTTGAGAGTTGACAGATTTTTGATAGCCTGTTTTATGACTTATTTTCAAGAAAAAACGGCTGGGAAAATTCAAAAATGGTTTGGATAATTAACTGTTAATCACTGTGTTGCACAGTGACACCTTCATAGAAAACCATAACTATTTTTGTGGTTTGAGAATTTTCTCAGGATTTGTTGCCTGTTAGAGGGTAAGTAGGCCTACATTAGAAAGAATATAATAAGTAACATTTCATACAAAAATTACACAGTTTTTTCATCAACCTCCAACAATGTTACCGAGTCACTTTAATGATGGTATATCCATCGGTCGCTAAATTTACAAGACCTTATACAGGAGTATAGCCTATAACCATGTCCAAAAATGAGTTGCTTAAGCTGAAATATGAATCACAGAAAATTGGAACTGAATACAAATGTAAAAATTATTGATAGCAGATTCCAATATTTCTGAGTCGATTGCTTATATTGATGATAAAAATGTAATGCAAAATTTGTTTCATGTACTTCCTATACCTTGTATATTTCTCTCTCTCTCTCTCTCTCTCTCTCTCTCTCTCTCTCTCTCTCTTTTTCTCTCTCTCTCTCGTATGTATTTCGACTTTTGTGACTGGATAGATTTTCGTCGGGCAACTGCTTATGCTGCTTAGGCTAGTAAAGTTTTAGGAGAATTATGTTAGTAATATCATACAGACAATGTTATGTCTGAAGTTCTTATGTTAGTCAATATACATGTACCTGATTTGGAATTTGAAGTGCAGTTTTTTTAATTTTGTATTAAAATTTAATGGAGTTTCCCCGTGAATGAAATTATTTTAGGAATAAAATTTTCGAGTAATATCTAAACTGAAAGGACCTTTCTATGATTCTCTTAAGGTACAATTCGAAACGTTAATCTGAAGTATTTTAAGCAAATGAAATTCAATCGCTTAGCTACGAGAAGAAGAAAAATAATATGAACAGCGACTTTCAAGATTTAAAAATCAGACGTAAAATGACCGCGGAGCTAAATGTGATAATAGTCCCACTTTTTATCTCATCTAAAAGGATGACTCATTCTTTTTTAAGATGATAGATATCAAGAAAGAAATCATGAGAGAAAACAAAAATAATCATCATTGAAACAATAGTATGGCAAACAAAGAACACAATTACCGTGGAGATTATGAAGAATCTAAATATCCAACTGCACTCCATGAGACATATAAGGGAAAAAAGAAAAAAATTATATGTAATACAACGAATGTGCGAAGATCGTAAGATTCTCCTGACTATAATTCAATTACGGGTAAACTTTGACCACCCAGACAGCTCAGTTACCTTTCACCCAGTGAAAAGTCACGCCCACAATGCACAACAAGACACGCCCCCTCGAACATCATGCTACATGTATCAAAATGCGTCTCCTGATAATAATGCATAATCATTAGTACTTAAAATTGAACAAACGCTGTTCAGACATGAAAGCACACACAGTACCAACGTTCCATTGGTCGAAATGTATACAGGTTCAGATCACGTGGTGTACAAATTGGACCAATCATGCCTCGAGGCTCGGTGCTGTGTTGGAGAATAGTACCACAAAGGGTATAAATTTGGCAATTTTGCACCGTTTTCTTTACCTTCTGCCAGGATCTCCCAGCTCCACATACTCATCCTACTCCTGTTCTTTGGTGAGTTGAGCTTCTTTCTTTTCTCTGGATATTCAGTCAGATCCATCGGAGAATTGGTATTTTGTTAGCAGTCATTTTAGATTCTTGCAACTTCTCAGTGATGATAAGTTACTGGGGTTCAGGCTGCCTACGACTGATATTTTTCTAGTTTATAAACAGTGTCTGAATTGAGCGCAGATTCCTTATTTTACTACTCCAATGCAGTGGTAATTAAAGGGAAAACTACTCTAGAATAAAGCAGAAAATCAGTGAAGCAGACTGGTGAAAGTTTTAATGTAATCGGACAAAAAATTAGAAAGTTTTCATCACTTTAGGCATGGGCTCTTCAAATTGCCTGAATCGGTAATTTCTCGGTGACGTAGTGCTGTGGCGGACAACTTTCTCATAACACAAGTCTTTTTATTTTCATGTTTGACTCAGGAGGTTTTTTTTTCTTCTTTAGATGACTTCTAGTAACATGCTATCCATAATATATTGTGAGTAGTGCCTCAAGGGAGAGTTGTCCGTGTCTACGTCACAATCCATTGACCAAATTGGTAATTTGAGGCTCGCACTTACTTAGTGATCTCATATTTCAAACAATTCTCTTGTTATTGTTTAACATTAATTTTAAACATTCACCATTCGGTTTATCTCTTTTTTTCATCGAAGTGAGTGAAGTCAATATTCTCTTTTTTTTTTAATTGACGGAATTGTGCTTCAGCTGATTTTAATATCCTCGAACTGATTTAACTACGCTTTTTGTTCTTGACTTAAGCAAACAAAAGTTCAAAGGTAATGTAGGCTGGAGAAAGGATACAGTATAGCCAAACAATCGCATGTCAATTATTTGCAGGGTAAATAATTTTATTTGGAGTCCCTTATGTGAAGATACCGGTCTAATCGTTAAATAAACAAGTGTGAATTACTAAGCAAACTACGTATAAAGGTGATACATGTATAAGCATTCTTATCTTATTTGGTAATTGTTCAAGAGATTTATCACAATTTACTTATCAGATAATGCGTGTATCTTAGCAGGAGGATAACGGTCACCCCGTAAACTCGATTCTAAGGAGATGCACTTCTCATCATGATGTAATGATTGATGTTTATTTCTGCTTGGAGAGATGGAAACTATTTATAACTTCCTTTTTTGTCTGCTAGAATACTCTTTGACATTGGTACAATTTCAATCGGCATACATTTAGACAGCACTTTGGTGTGTGATGTGGTTCCAAATATTGATCGCTATATTCAAATAGCACTAGTCCAAAGGGGAACATTTTTGCCTGGCTTTTTGATAAAAAAATCACAAATTTTACTCAAATTTTTAAAAATCCACTTTTTATTTTTAATATTTTTATTTTGATAATTCAACATTTATTTTTTGTTAATTTGTTGTTTTAATTTGTGAAAATAAAATAACTGTAAACAGTTGTAGTCAACAGATATTCGTAAATGGATCTTGAATAATACTTCTGTAAGGAGCACACATTGAATTTGAATTCTATTTTGTGATGAGGTAAATATTACTGAATAATGTTACTTGCCTTTACAGTTTACAGTCATGATATCTTTGATTTTTTAAATAAAATATCAATTTTTGGCACTCGTTTAGGACAATCTAAATGCATATTCCTGAGACCGCTGAGTAAAGGCAACAATAACACGTACAATTGATTTTAAAAGATACAACAAACTTTTCCATTAGGTTTCTTCACTCTAAATGATAAACTTTTCCATTTCCCTTTTTTTCAGCTCCTTCAGGGAAACGTTCAACCAACCAAAACAAAATGGCTGACTTCTCCGGAAAATGGGTGTTCGATCACGGTGAGAACATGGAGTTCCTCATCGAGAAGCTGAAGATCGACCCCTCCAAGATCCCCTCGGACAAGAGCTCGACCGTCGAGATCGTCCAGAACGGTGACAACTTCAAGATCAAGACGACTGGATCTGGTGGAAAGTCCCGTGATGTAAGTTCATTCTCAACTTCATCATCCGTTTATATGAATTGAAATCACGTGATCGTTGTTCATGTCAAAGACTTTTTGAGTTGTTTCTTTTACTTTTTTATGAGGTGTCTGTCGAGTTTCAACTCTTTAAGCCTATAGTACATTGGATTGATTTTAAAAATATGATTTGTTTTTGTCTCGGTTAAACGAAATTATGTTCATGCAACAACAAATTTGTTTGCACTCTAGCTTTAATAATCCAACCGTAAACCAACACAATCATGTATAGGACTACGGATCTACTCTTGACATGAACACCATGATAGAGTAGAACATTTCCATGTATCTGTAACAACCAGATTGCAGAGTATTAATGTCATCAGGGCTGAAATTGGGACTTTGATTCTTCATAAAAAGTGCACGTACTCGCAGGCTAAGACTTATTGCACCATCAGCTACAGATTGTGATCAAAGGGGTGATGATGCTTAGTAAAACTAGCTTTAAAAGCTCTTTTGATTATACACACTTACAACACCGATTCTTGACGTATTTTTAAAACATCAAAAATATTAAATGTCAGACTTCAATCATGTGTTTCGTTCTTCATCATCTGATTCGTCTCCGTCCATCTCGTCCTCAGATCTCATACTCCATCGGCCAGTCCTTCATCGACCCCGACATCAAGGAGCTGAGGGGCAAGGAGATCGAGGTCACCCCATCATGGCAGGGCGGCAAGCTAGTCCTCGCTGGTCCCAAGGGCAACTCAGCCACCAGGGAGATGGTTGGAGCTCAGATGGTTGTGACCTTCAACTGGGAAGGGCAGGCTGGAAAGAGATTCTTCAACAAGGCTTAGAGCCAGGAAGAATAAAAGATTTTGTATAAAACATAGATGAAATATTACAGTGATTAGTATCATAGAGAGATATTTGTTATCAATGAACTCCCCGTCGCATGTGGGCAACAAAAGTGTTTTTTTTATCCAGATGTATCCTAGGCTGATTCGTGCATTTTATATCATTCTTTTTATTCGCCAAATTCAACTAAGTTCACAAAATAAATTTTCATCAGTCAAAAAAAATCCTAAAACTAGTAATAATTCACTGGTTTAGAATTGAACCTGCACTGAAAATGTATTTGACTCCGAGGTATCAGCCCATAAAAAGGTTTCTTCCACTTCACACATTCGGTTTTCGGTTTACAACTTTTTTTGTTAACAACTTTACAATGAACATTTGACTTCAACTGATTCTTCAGTGCCATAGAGAGATATTTTGTAATGAAAATAAATGTTTTGATCTGTAAATGAAATAAATAAATGTCTATCCAGCAATATTCAAGTCTAACTATTATCTGTATGCTTGTGCTGTTATTATGTTATGTCAAAGAGAGTGAAATGAGCCGGGAATAAGCATTATATTTCTTGTTGTAATCTATCAAGGTATATAAGGGTATAAGGGTAGTGTTATAAAGACTGGGAACATTTAAAGATAGAATGGCGAGAAAATTAAGAGGAAAGAGAGATACCTTATAGTTGTTAAAGAGAGAGGGCAGAGAAAAGTTAAGAGAAAGAGAAAAAGAGAAAGATGAGAGGGTAGGGGAAGGGCAGAATAGACATAGAGAATGAGAGAGAAAGATGGAAAATAAGATAAACAAAGACAGAGAAAAAATGGTAGAGAGAAAAAGACAAAGAGTCAAAGATAACAAAGAAAGAGAGGGAGAGAGAAAGACTGCCATGATACAAACAGATAGATAGAGAGAGAGAGAGAGAGAGAGAGAGAGAGAGAGAGAGAGAGAGAGAAACAGGGAGACAGAGAGAGATAGAGAGAAAGAAAGAGAAGTCAACGTTAAAATAAGAGTAATATGCCTAACACTAGAGTATCGGCGGGGGGGGGGGGGGGGGCCTTGGTACCTTGTCAATGAATAAAAATGTCAATGAATAAAAATAACTAAATGTACAAATAATTTTCAAGGGTTCTTGCCCCAAGCCTGTATTTTTTTGTTGAGCACTAGCTGGTTCTACTCGGGTATACAGGCAAGGTGTAATTAGCCTCATCATCAATATCCCTCGGGTCCCTCTACGGTAGGATCTGGGGCGTTTCACAAAACTTGTATTCAGTGACAAATGACAGTTTTTGTTATAAGCTACTGAAATCCTTGATTCTGATTGGTTATCAACAGATTTGTCACTGATTTTTGTAATTTGTCATTGAAAAAGGCTTTGTGAAACGGGTCCCTGGTCTCCTCGTTACCGCTTTGAATCTCGTCCTGTAGTAACATTTCCGAGTCTATTTCTCCACTGTCTTCGGCTTGAAGGGAAATCCAACCGTGAAAAATCCGTGAAGTATAGACTGGGGAAAATTTAATGAAATCGGGGGGAAAATGAGGAAATTATGAAGTTTTTAGAGGTATAATCACCATAGGTATGGGTTCTTGAAATTTGTATAATCGGTAGGCCTAATGTAGTGTCTATATGACGTAGTGGTGGGCAACTTTCCCATTTGTTTAAACAAGTAACTCATGACTATATATACATTTTCACAAAATTATGACTCAGAAAGATCTATTCTATTTATTTAGAAGGACCAATAATTATGCCATCCGATGATAATATATTTTGAGTAGTGCCCCAAAGGAAAAACAGAAATTAATGATATTTTTGTACACGACAAACTGGGGAGTTTTCCGCGACTACGTCACAATCAACTGACCAAACACGCAATTTGGGATTCAAATAGACTGAGTGATCTGATATTTGTAACATTCATAACTATATTATCATTGGTCCTATTTATTTCAAACTTTTGCCATCATCAATTTATTATTTTTCTGCTTTCATCACAATTTATAACAAGGGTGAGCTTCAACAACGACATTACGGCCATTTACGAAACTAAGAGTGTCTTATTATTAGTAGTATTATTATGTATATTATATATACGTAAACGCTAAAAATGACGCCCCACCCCCCCCCCCCCCCCCCCCCCACCCCCTGAACACCGTAAAGATAAGCCCTCAAATAGCCCAATAAGGCCTGAAAATTCCTGCCACAATATTTATTTTCTTTATTATTTATCCCTACATTATCACTCGGTAAATTCAAGAGTAGAACTATAGAAATGTCATGCAAAGACATGTTTCGTTTTTTCCAAATAAAAAGAAAGCACAAACGTTTCGAAACGAAAATGTGGCAATGCCATCGATGGGGAATTCCCCGTAAGGATATGACCTTAGATCTGTTTAGATGTCGTGCCGGTAGTTTAGGTGTGTACATTAATGCAAACATCATACGTACGTGTACGTATGTCATCATAATAAAGACGGCTAGCGGCTGGAAAAAAGTCTAAAAGTAGTTTGACCCGTGTTGCGTGGTACTTCGTCGGGGATTCCCACTGTTTACCCATGGAAGACATTCATATATTGGGCGCAATAACCTAGACATGTATGACACATTTGGGTGTGATGTTCTACATTTTCTCGTATAAACTGAGTTGTCTTCTCCAGTTTATACCACCGCAGTTCCAATTTTGCCCTCAGCTCAACATCAGTCCGTAGTTACTTCTGTTTGCCTCGGACTCATTGAATAATTGAAGTCATTCTGCTCTGACTCTCTGTTGATTTCTGAATCTGATCAATCTGTACGGTACCTTCACCTTGGCCTTGATTATGAGTTTGACGTGTTGCCTTCTTCGTGTTCTTTTGTCGGTAAGTTGGTCTTTATCTTTCACTGTAGTTAAGGAGATGGGCAGGTATGTTGCACCTAATTTGTACTGTACCCCTTGGCTACAGTTATATAAATGTATAAACTTAGGACTCAGACTCGATCTAGACTAACTAACTGATAACTCAACTGTAGTCTACTCTGTAGTCTATAAAGTTATGAAATATATGATGAAGTTAAATCTAGTCTAGACCTAAAGCTAATTTGTAAAATGCTGATCACAATTAACTGTCATTACTGTAGCCTATTCATTGGAGGAGGAAGTGGTTTGATATCCGCTATTTCATTTCAAGTTGCTTCTTCCGCGCTGTTGAGTATTGACATCTTGCCAACTCGACTTTAGATTTTGGATCAATGCCAATTTCTGACTTTTCCTTAATCTGATCATGTCCAACCATGTGGCTTTAATGATTTCATGAACGAGAGAAAATATGGTGAAAGCAAAGATCTAGGGCAATTCAAATCTTGGGGTTTTTCCTTGTTGGATCAAGAGACGATCTACCCGTGAAATTCCCTTGATCTTCATCTAGAGTGAGCTCTGTGTGTTTCTTTCAGTTTGCAGAATAAGGGACTTTGGTTACAATGGCTGATGAGCAAAAGGTTGCTGTCCTCGCAATGAACGCTCCAGGACCAGGAAGGACTTCAGACGATGGCTTGGTCACAACGCAAGATGCCAAGATGAGAAAGGAGCTGAATGCCTACGCCGTCATGGCGTACGTGGCCGTCTCTGATCGCAATGCGATGGCGGAGCAGCTCAAAGGCCTGACCCATTTCACACAAGCTTTTAATGAGCTTCAAGAGAAGCTAGCGGCGGCAGAGACGAAGGCAGAGGATCTGCAACTGGAAGTCTGGAGAAACGAGGCCTTTGTGACACGAAGCAGGATCCAGCTGCGAGTGAAAGACAGTGAAATAGCTGGTTTAAGGAAAGACATGAAGAAGGGAGAAAACTTTTCTGAAAGAAAGAGCGCAGAGAGTGATGAAAGCGTAGAAACTTCAAAAGCTGCGGGGAGTGACTCGGTAGACGGGGGGACAGAGGATAAAGAAGAGAAGAAGGAAGAAGGTACAAATGCAGATATGGCGAAGCCAAAGGTAAGTTTCAGCAAATAATGTAAAGATTAGGTGTGAATCAGATTTTCATCATGAAAAGTTGACTCTATTGCAAAGATCATGGAACTGATATGTCTCTCTCTCTCTTTTTAATTTTTTTTTGTTGTTGTAGTTTACAGCCAATCAATCTTTCATAATGAAAGTAATTCACTTTTGTTTCTTAAAAGGCTGCTATGCTTTCAATTTCGATTATGTAATATTATTTTTTTACAAATTAATTCAGAGATAAATACATGATAAATGTGAAATTTTTAAAACAAATATGAAGGAAAAGAAATTAAACCTTTTTTTAAAAACTCTATACACACACACACTCTCTCTCTCACTGTATCTCTCTTTGTGTCTACCACTGTCTCTGTCTATCTGTCCCCGTCTCTCTCTCACTCTTTTTCTCTCTTTCTCTCTCTTTCTTTTTCTCTTTTTCTTTTCCTGTCTCTCTCTCTCTCTCTCTCTCTCTCTTCCTTTCATCTATCCCTTTCTCGCTCTTTGTACGTTATTACTATAACTCTCCGATTCCCTATATCACTTGCGTGTCTTCTCTCCATCTCTTTCCTCTCTCTCTTTTCTATTTTCTCACTTTTTGTTTGGACCCTTATACATGTGTGTATTCAGTCGCCTCAACCTGGAAAGTCTGACTATCTGATGAGCCGTGGATTGCAGATAGGCGTCTCAAGAGAAATCCATGAAGCAGTCATCCAAGAGAACCTTCATCTTAAGGGTCATCTGAAGCAACTCTTGGTCGACCAAGGAGGAAGTCTTAAAGACCTAATGGTAATTGGAATGCTTATAATAATAATAAAATGTCTTGTTTTACCCAGGGTAGACTCATCAGTATTCCTCATCAGTATTCCAGTATTCCTACTGCTCTCCCTGAGAGCCCTGCAATTATATTATTACCCCATTCATCGGATTCAGGCTTACCCGCACACAATGTATGCACATTCTCCACTTCCTGGGGAGCATTCCGACCAGGCGTCATTTTTACAAGCGCACACTTGCTAATCTAAGCACATTAGCTTTCTCATCCTACCGGGTACCCATTTAACACCTGGGTGGAGAGTGGCAAATGTAGATCAATGTCTTGCCAAAGAACATTAGTGCCGCGGTGGGACTTGAACCGCGGACCTTGTGATCCACAGTCCGGTGATATATCCACTCGTCCACGACACCTCTTAACCCTTTCCCTACTGTATTCTCAGATTCTCGTAGGCAGTGGGTTAATATTGTTTTTAGAATCGGGTTCTTTGAAATAATTTCCTTAAAATATATGCTAGCTATATGCAGGATTTTCAGTTTTTAAATTGCCCCATAAACACGATCATATATTTTTTAATCAATTTGTTAAGTGGGCCAGAGATAGTTTTTAAATTCATGGCAGGCCACTGAGTGTACAACACATACCGAAGGTTGATTGGGAAGCCGTAGAAAAATATTGTCCCTTCAGCTGCTATTTAAGTGTCAGTTATTTATTAGATAGTTATTTAAGATTAATAAAGGAAACAAATAAAAGAGTAATCTCAGTCTCTTGTCCTTTCCTACACTGTACTCCCTCTTTATTATGCATATGTAAACAGGACTGTCATGATAATGCTTTGTTAAAGTAACTTTGATAAAATTGGAGAAACCAATTCTCGAAACTCGAAAGTGTGCAAAAGAAGTAGAAGATTTGAAGTATGAGGAACTCCCTTTCCTGTTTGTAATAAATGTGGGCAAGATCCTTTGAAAGTGTTTTTTTTTGTAGCGTTACATAATGTTATTATTTCAACATTAGTAACAATTTGGACTTATTTACCCAGGGTAACCACTTGAGTATTGAGACTCTTCTACCTGCAGGCCCTGCATTCCTCTCATTATTGCCATAGATCTACCCATTTAATGCACATAATGGGCAAATATAAATAATGATAATAATAATATTTGGTTCTTCTATAGCACATATCACATTATATAATGTCCCTATGCGCTTCAACACAGCTTTGGAGATTATTACCCAGCTTTAGCTCCAGCAGGCGTTATCAGCGCACAGTGCATTTCAAGGAATAATCATTCCAGGTATCCATTAACCTCACCTGGGTCCAGTGTGGCAAACGTAGATTAATGTCTTGCCAAAGGGACATTAGTGCCACGGCGGGACTTGAACCGCGGACCTTGTGATCCACAGTCTGGTGACCTATCCACTTGACCACGTCACCTCTAAATGAGGCACAACACCTTTTTCTTTTTTGATTTTTTTCTTACAGGATACCATCCAGTACAAGGAAATCATCAAGCAACAAAGGAGAAAGATTGATGAGAAAGAGGAGGAAATCGCTAAGATCAAAGCTACTCTTGAGCAAGCCGATAACCCCAAGGAACAAACTGCTAAGACGCTATTTGACATGGAAGGAAAGGTATTGATGTAATCTTTGAAAAGAGAATTTGAAAATTTAAATTATGTCATTTTGAGCTGTCTTTGACTTGAGGGAGATGGGGGGGGGGGGGGGGAATATGTAGATAAGTGCTGCAAAGACCAGCATAGGAAATAACGAAAATGTGCAAATTAAGGAGAGACACCAGCTAACATCTTACTTCAACACGTTTCAACAATTGAGGAGGCGCGATAGCTCAGTCGATGCGCTAGTGGCCTTTGGTAAGTCATCAATCCTCATTACCAGATCATCTGAGAGGACTTAAAGCCGTTGGCCGTCTGTTTGCTTACTTACAAGCATTTATTCTTTCTTAGCATTCAGGTGTGCAATGCAGATTTTCCAAACTTTTTTCCAGGTGAAAAATTCTGAGAGGACCATCAAGATGAAGCAAGTGATGATCGAGGCGCTGTCTACTCGGATCGAGGAACTGAGTAAGGCTCTTGAGAAGCTCCAACAGAGGGATGACATACAGATAGCCCATATGAGATCAGCATTCTCAGACGGATCCCGCTCTGCATTAATGGCTGATTCTCCTGTAAGTGATAATATTGATGATAATATCCCATTCTTGTAAAGCGTGTTTCACGTTATTATCCAATGTCTCTATGCGCTTCCAAAGGTCTTGGGACTAGTATAGCCCAGGCATTAGCTCCAGTAACCCTAGCCCTCAGGGTATTCAAGGAATAAAATCATAGCTGGTTCTTGCCCACTTACATGTATTACTCCTGGGTTGAGTTTGGCACATGTTGATTAATGTCTTGCCAAAGGATGTTAGTGATGTGGTAGGGATTTGAACCCCTACCTTGTGGATTTCAGTCCAGGGACCTATCCATTAGACAACACCTCTACAGTTGATTCACAGCCCTAAAAAGAATATGCCAGATGTGTGAGTAGAAAGGACAACAATTTCTGCACACACTGCGTCCATTTTTTATGACTATAATATACCTTTGATGCCAGGAATTTTAAACAGAATAATAATCATTAAACTCCTTTGATGAGCAACATGTTGAGCAAATCAAAAATCACTGTTTTTTTTCTATCAAAATTTGCCATTCTGATTCATTCATATTTTCAGGAACATTCTCAACCCTGGATATTGTTTTCAGAGACATTACATTTCATTTTAACAATGTTGCAATAAAGGGAACATACAGGTTCCCATCTGAAGATCAATATTTGAACAATTTAACCCTAAAAATAAATCCTGTCCTGAAAGGGTTAACTCATAATCTACTGAATTCTGATATCTCTAAAGGCTTTCTTTATGAAGTGTAGTGTGCTTGTCACATGCTTTATGAAGCTTTGCTACATTGCAGTAGATGCCAGGTTTATCTATGTACTTCACACAGATATCTTTAGGAACTAAAACTGCATGTTGCGTTAGAGTTTGGTCCAACCCTATAGCTACTTCTTATCTTTATTTTGAATATGTGACTGGGGTACTTGATCCTTCTCATTCAACATTCCTACTGAGAACTAGGAAGCTCACAATTAGTTTTCATCTTTACCAGGGGAATGTTTCACAAAGACTAGGAGCGACTTTAGGTTGGACTTAACTATGGCAGGCCATTCATGCCACTGTTTTCTCCCACCATTTACATGCATTGGTCTCTCAAGGGACGTACGAATCATGGTCACAAATCTACATTACTGAAGGAAAGAATACTATCTACAGATCATAATGCTGAGATAGTTAAGTCCAACTTAAAGTTGATCGTAGTCTTTGTGAAACACTCCACTGGACTCAACCTAGCTTCTCTTTAATGCAGGTCAATCAGGTTTTGCCTTCGATACAAATCAAGAGCCTAACGAAGGAGAACTCAAGACTGATGAAGCTCCAGAAGCACCAAGAAACTGAAAATGAATCTCTGAGACAAGAAAGGGATAAGGCTCTAGCTGAGAAGACGGTGAGTTTAGGGTCCGTTACTTAATGGAATGACTGTACTGATACATGTACATGCATTGATATATAAATGTGTAGTTTTGATAGAACCAAAGATTCAAAGATATATGGAGAGAAAATGAACGAATGAATCGATGGGAGGATGAATAAATGAATAAAGGTTTGGATAGGATGATAGATGAGTAAATGGAAGGATAGATAGACAAGTGAGTAGATGGATAATAATAATAATAATAAAAGCGTTACTTATAAAGCGCTTACCACCGAAGTCTCTAAGTGCTATACACACAAAATAGACTGATATACAATTACATCTTATACAAAACTAAAAGTGCAAATAAACATACAAATTACAATACATATGGAATACACGTCAAAGTGAACCGAGTTAATTAATCATCAAACGCAATTTTGAATAAATGTGTCTTGAGACTAGTTTTGAATAGGTTAAAGATACTATGTCCCTTTTGCAGCCAACCTCAAATTCTGTAGAACTTTGCAGGAATTATGAATATGTCATGTATGTCCTATCTGTGAAATTTAAACGTTAGCAGTGTCCTCATATTCAAATTATGCAAGGAAACCCGTTTACTTGCTAGACTTCACTGTCAGACACTATTGAGTGACTGACTGGCTTTTTTTCTTCTTTGGTAATAACATACATGAAAAGAGTTGTAAAGGGTACATGAGCATTTGTCTACATCAATAACCCTCTTCTTGTGATGGCCAAGATTAAACTGATTGAATCTTTGCGCAGCATAAAACGTATGACCATTAGGTACAATTGTCTGAAAATCAAGACTATTACTTTTGGGCTCTATAGCCCTAAAGTCGATTTGACAACTAATAGTCGTTATTTTCCCACTTGCAGACATTTTCAAGCCCCACCTTTTTTAGGGAAGTTCTAAATTAGTATTATCTTTCAAATGCGGTTGGAATTTAACTTTTTCATTTTTTTGGCCTGCAAATGGGACATAGTACCTTTAATGTGTCTTGAGACTAGTTTTGAATAGGTTAACGGTTTGACAGTTTTTTACATTTAAAGGTAATCTGTTCCAAAGTTCAGCAGAAGCTTTGCGAAAGGAGCGATTACCATAAGAAAGAGTTGACACAGAAGTAGATACAAGGTTTAATTGTGAAGATGACTGTAAACTGCGTGAGGGTTTGTATTCCTGGATTAATTCTTGCAGATAAATTGGTGCCAATTCATGAATGCATTTATAAGTTAAAACTAAGATTTTGTACATAATGCGGTACGTCACCGGCAACCAATGCAATTCACGAAGTACTGGGGTGATGTGTTCACAAGAACGCATGCGTGTTACAAGCCTGGCAGCAGAGTTTTGGATTCTCTGGAATTTTACAATGTGCAAGTCCGGAAGGCCATATAGAAGGCTATTGCATTGATAAATGCATGTATAAGTGTTTCAGTAGATTTTTGATCAAGAAATTTCTAATACGACCTATCTTGTACAAGGCATATGAAGCTGAGCGACAAATATTTTTTATATAATCATCCATCCTAAGATCATTTTCAAAGATGACACCAAGGTTACGTGCACTTTTGACAGGTTGTATCGGAACATTAGCAATTTCGACAGATGGTAAATGGGAGGACTTTCTGAATCGAGATGTTACATGTATAACCTCAGTTTTATCCTCATTTAACTTCAAATCATTAGCAGTGGACCAAGCTTTGATATCATTTATACATCTTTCAAGTTTAGTAATAACAGAATGGTCAGAATCACGTTTCAAAACAACATAAACTTGGGTGTCATCTGCATATATCATTTGGCCTAAACCATGCGCTTCAATAATATCTTCAAGTGGTGCAGTGTACAGAGTAAATGATAAAGGGCCGATGACGGATCCCTGAGGAACACCTTCAAGTGGAACATTAGGTTTGGATAATGAGTCATTAATGACAATAGATTGTGAACGATTCATAAAGTATGTTTTAAACCAATTCAAGGCAGTACCTGATACACCATATCTAATACGTAAGCGATCAAGAAAAACATCATGACTGATAGTATCGAAAGCTGCAGAATAGTCTAAAAGTATTAAAACAGCTTCATCACCTTGGTCCACAGCTAACAACAAATCATTATATACACGTAAAAGAGCAGTTTCAACGCTATGAGAAGATCTATAAGCAGATTGCATTGTACTACACAGATTGTTTGATGATAGATAGCCCTGAATGGAAGGAGGAATGTCATGGATAGATAGATAAATGGATGGATGGATGGATGAATGGAGGAAAAGATGGATGGATGGATGGATGGATGGATGGATGGATGGATGGACGGAGGGAGGAAAGTTTGGATGGAGGGATGAATGCCATGGATAGATAGATGGATGGAGGAAAGGATGGATGGGTGGATGGATGGATGGATGGATGGAAGGATGGATGGAGGGAAGGATGGATGGAGGAAAGGGTGGATGGAGGAAAGGGTGGATGGAGGGAAGGGTGGATGGAGGGAAGGATGGATGGAGGGAAGGATGGATGGAGGAAAGGATGGATGGAGGGAAGGATGGATGGAGGGAAGGATGGATGGAGGAAAGGATGGATGGAGGAAAGGATGGATGGAGGGAAGGATGGATGGAGGAAAGGATGGATGGAGGAAAGGATGGATGGAGGAAAGGATGGATGGAGGGAAGGATGGATGGAGGGAAGGATGGATGGAGGGAAGGATGGATGGAGGGAAGGATGGATGGAGGAAAGGGTGGATGGAGGAAAGGATGGATGGATGGATGGATGAATGGAGGGAAGGATGGATGGAGGAAAGGATGGATGGAGGGATGGATGAATGGAGGGAAGAATGGATGGAGGAAAGGATGGATGGAGGGAAGGATGGATGGATGGATGGATGAATGGAGGGAAGGATGGATGGATGGATGGATGAATGGAGGGAAGGATGGATGGAGGGAAGGATGGATGGAGGGAAGGATGGATGGATGGATGGATGAATGGAGGGAAGGATGGATGGATGGATGGATGAATGGAGGGAAGGATGGATGGAGGGAAGGATGGATGGAGGGAAGGATGGATGGATGGATGGATGGATGAATAGATGGATGGATGGATGGATGGATGGATGGGAGTATAGATGGGTGGAGGAAAGGATGGATGGATGGATGGATGAATGGAGGGAAGAATGGATGGAGGAAAGGATGGATGGAGGAAAGAATGGATGGATGGATGGATGAATGGAGGGAAGGATTAATGGAGGGAAGGATGGATGGAGGGAAGGATGGATGGAGGGAAGGATGAATGGAGGGAAGGATGGATGGAGGGAAGGATGAATGGAGGGAAGGATGAATGGAGGGAAGGATGAATGGAGGGAAGGATGGATGGAGGGAAGGATGGATGGAAGGAAGGATGGATGGATGGAAGGATGGATGGAGGGAAGGATGGATGGAGGAAAGGATGGATGGAGGAAAGAATGGATGGATGGATGGATGAATGGAGGGAAGGATGGATGGAGGAAAGGATGGATGGATAGGTAGAATAGATTGATAGATAGACAGGAGCCCGTTTCTCGAAATCTAGCCCTCATTTGGTGCATATCGTTTTGTGCAAAAATGCATATTTGGCAAACAAGCGGCCGAAGTGTTAATCTGGGCCCCGTCTTACAAAGAGTTGCAATTGAACAAAATCAATAGCAAGTCCTCCAATCAATCGCAAGTTTGCAGTCTCCTATCTCTTATGTACATAGTTGCGATTGATATCAACTCTTTGTACGACAGGGCCCTAAAGGTCATTGTTAAACTATTAACTTGTACATAAATTGTTCAGTTTGAAGGATATACCTGTATCAGTAATAAATTGGTCTTCCCACATTGGCTTTATTTATTGTTGGTCAAACAGCTTGTGAGCGTCAAGTAACGCCCGGCTGGAATGCTCCCCAGGGAGTGGAGATTGTGCACACAGTGTGTGCGGGCAAGCACTGAATCCAATGACTGGGGTAATAGTATATTTGTAAAGCGCTTAGAGACATTTGTATTAAGTGCTATATAAAAATTAAATATTATTATTATTTTTATTCCATCAAAGATACAGGTTAGGGTAGGTTGCAGTAGGGTACTAGTAATAGGTTAGGTTAAGGGTTAGGTCTAGTTCTTCATCTAGGCTAAGGGATTTAGAGAGTGTATGATGTTGATATGAGAGCAATTGTCACCAGAGTATACATGTATCTTGTACCAGAGATAAATCATTATATATTAATCTCATGATGATGATCACATTTCTTAACAAAGCAATACCCTAAATGATGTCTCTCAAAATATAGGAGAATCAGCGACAATTGGCCACCCTCTCCCAAATAAAATTCCAGCCTTGTTCCACCTGTAAAGATCTCAAAGCAGCAAAGGAACACGCAGAAGAAGAGCTCAATATTACAAAGGGCGAGTTGTCTGCTGCATTTATTCAGGTAAGCAGTGGTCCTATGTTCATTTGCCTGGACACTGAAAGCAGGAGTTCTAGGATCAAATCCTTATTGCAGCTCTTTTTCTTTTTAAGCCCTCAAGAGAAGGTTGAATGCTCTGTAGGGTGAAACTTCAGCAGAACCATAGTGGTTCTGTGGTCATTTACATGGATCCTGAAAAAAGGGGTTCCCTATTCAAATATCTCTCCCAGCTTTTAAAATTTGTAAGACCTCATAGTGCAGTGCTAACCCATTATAGTGAATTCTGTATTATTGCTGATGAGTTTCTTGATCTAGATATATACGACGAATAACATAAAATGATGGTATTGTTAATATGTAAGGTTGACGTGGAAAACACTAGATATGCACATCAGTGATATTGCAGTATTCCCAATATGAACAAGGCTATCATAAAAGTAATGCAAAGTTTTGGGAAATTTTGAAAATAGGATGGATAGTAATTCCTTAAAATGTTGATATATTTGGATGCCCCTGTGGATGTATTATAAGCACTAGAAAAGTTAGCCCCTCAAACACTTCTGCTTTCAAGAAATTGAATAATCAAAAATTTACTGTTGCTCCTGGTAACCTTCAAGGATTTCAAATAGCGCCTAAGGCCATTCCATGGTAGCTGCGACCATGCAAATCTCAGAATATGCAGTTCTGATATATAATTTGGTCGATTGCAGTCAAGAAACATTGTTTTAAAGCTAAAGTAATATCAGTCTTGAGAGGGAGCTATGCGACATAAAGAGTTTATTATTTACAATTTCATCACTTTAGACTTGATTTCAACCGCGACAACGATCATTGAATATTGTCAAATCGCATATTCTTCCAATAAGTTCATTTGAACCAAATGCATGACCCCGTACCAAAACTTTGTATTACCTTTAATAAATATCTCATTGAAAATCGTAATGAGCGTGATGTGCAATTATCTTCATTTTAGGTGGACACGTATAAATCTGATTTCAAGGAGCGGTGTGCAGAGATGGAGAAGACAAAAAGCAGCCTTCGCAATGAGTTGGAAACTTGGAAAAGGAACTGTCAAATGCTTAATAGACAGGTTAGTACCAAGCAGCTACTTACCTCATAACATTTATCTTTAGTGTATGAGATACAATGTAGTTACTGTCATTTTACCTGAGTTATATCCCTTCTGTTTGATTCCTTCATAGTACTTACCCCACAAGTGAAATATTTCCCTAATTAATATCCCTTCATTGCTTTAAGTGTATATGTTGCAACAATTTGTGTGTACTTTTCTAAACTAAGAATACGTTGAAGTAGAGTTGCGTTGTAAGGGAAGTCGCTCCTTAAAAATGTCCTAAGGATAGAGAAATAATTGGGTAAGTGCCGAAAAACATTAACATGTATCAACAGACCCTTCAATTTAATCTACCAGAAACAGGAAATACGAGGGGAGGACACACTGTCTCCATTGGCTGTGTTCATGTTAAAGGGATAGTTGAGTTCTTGCCTTCAAAGTGCATGTTTATTTCTCTATCTTATTTATGACATTTCTAGTGCCCTTTAAGGACCTAAAACTGCTATGAAGGTAATTTTAGACCCAAATATGTGTGAAATTTAACCGATACGATCATACCAATTCAGCTCTACTTTTAAAAAAATATGGTAACCGTTAATTAATTGATTAATTAATAATAACCATACATGGGCCGGCTGGTTGCGCGTATTATAACCAACACCAAAAAGCCAACAGAAAGCCCACATCGGCATTGGCTGGAATAGAACATATAAGGCGCTGTTTCTTTTTTCAACGGCTAGTTCAAATTATCGAATACTGGGGCACCACAAATATGCTATAATTTGTTATATTTATGGATATTTCAGCCATCTCTGAACCAATTTTGATCAAACAAAGATGATTTTTTTTTTTGTCATTTAAATAGTATGTTCTTTCAACTTTGACACTCATTTTTTCATTACCTCACAAAAAAATTGTTTTGTGTAAAGCCCTCTGCAATAAAACTCAACTATCCCTTTAATAATGACTATGCTATTCAACTATCCCTTTAATAATGACTATGCTATTCAACTATCCCTTTAATAATGACTATGCTATTCAACTATCCCTTTAATAATGACTATGCTATTCAACTATCCCTTTAATAATGACTATGCTATTCAACTATCCCTTTAATAATGACTATGCTATTCAACTATCCCTTTGATAATGACTATGCTATTCAACTATCCCTTTAATAATGACTATGCTATTCAACTATCCCTTTAATAATGACTATGCTATTCTTTCAAGAAACACTCTTTTAAGGCAATGTAAACACAGTTCAGTCTCTTCATCATCATTATAGCCATAGTGTCGTCTCCAAAGATCTCTCCAATTTTTATACTTTGTACGTGTAGATGGAGTCGATGAGGCATGAGCTCGATGAGCAGATGAGTAATAACGGCAAGCTGCAAGCTGAAAATCGATATTTCACCCAAGCTTTGGGACAGAGAAGGTGAGGTGTCACATTAAATCTTGTCCAGTCTGGTTTCATTTTTCTGAATTTTGAACCTTTGCTTTAAGGTGGGACTGCTCTACTTGTAGCTATACTTGCGCCCTCTATATAGCAAACAATGCGGTACCCGCTGGTCCGCCATGATCCCCTTTTTCTTATGTTAATTGAGAGCTGATTTGATGAGATAACCACCAGTTAGTGACCATGCTGGGAGGTCTTATCCCTCCTGGCCAACCTAGGACTTTAATAAAATAAGGAGTCCCTGTAAAAACAACATTTTGTAGTAATTATGCACCAAATGTTGAGAGTTTTGAACCTGCTGTAGAGGAAGTTTTTTTGTTTGGGAATATCTACATTCTTAATTACAACGTTCTGAAGAAAAAAAACTTTATCAAAAATCAGGAACAGGACTTAAAATTTAAGCAAATTCCCATCAAAAATAAGAAAGTTGTTTTTTTGTCCAAAGGAGATTTTCAATCATACATGCACCCTAAATATAATTATTGCAAAACATTTTTTTAATATAACCCCTGTATGAAACAAATCTATTCCTTCATCAATAACTAAGAAAATGAAGTTTATGATATCTTCTGTACAGAGCAAATTGGAGAGGACCTGGCAAGATACGTCACAGTGTTGCCAATTTGTGTCCACTGATGACAACTTAAAAAATTCATAACTTTCCTATTTTATTCAGATATTGCTAAAACTTTCAATAATACGTTTCTCTTGATTTTTTCCTTTTACTAATACCAACTCATTACCAGGTTGGACTTCACCTTTAAACCCTATTTCGATTTGGGGGTCATTTTGCCATAGTTTGAGTCCAACTTGAGTCGATCATAGTCTTTGTGAAATACTCCCCTGGGATGATTTGAGATGCATCAAGAAAATGATCTCATTGCAAGCCTCCATTTTGAAATTACATTTTTGATACTATCATTTTGCCCCCTAGAAATGACCCTGCAATGTACCCTGCCTCCATGCCCCCGATGGCGGCAGAGCAGTGCGGAGCAATGGTGAATAATCCTTGGCAGGAGAGTTCAGGCTATGCCAGCAGGAAATCAGAGGTAGTCGTTGGAAGGGATCAGTGTGATCTGCCATCCCCACAAGATGTAAGTTTAACCTACTGACTACTGAATACTCTGATCTTCATAGGCTTAATACAGGGAGCACCCGGTTCCCTTAGGAGTGGGTTAACCTTCTCCATGGTTCTCCAATATACAGTTAACAAATGAATCAATCATACCTTTTAAAGGGGGTGTAGCATGATGAGACTACGTGTCTTTGCCGTGGCTTGACTCGGGGGCCAATTGGGTATAATATGACTACGGACGACGCGACCGCAGCAATCATGTGCCTGCAACCGAATCGAATCGCGAGGAGAACATCGGTCTGTTTCGCGAAAGCTAGCGTGCGCTGACCATGTAGAGATTAAGTCGCTGACTACCGTTAATCAAGTCCATTAATTCATTTACATGCAGTTGTCCAAAAGAAGACGTAGATGGCGTTAACCAGTATTTGCCAGGCTACACTCCCTTTAATACCAAGTTTTGTTGTTTCTTGTGTATGTCAGATATTAAATCTTACATTTAATGTATTCAACAGAGGCCCTTAGTCAACCAGTCCACTTTTCATTGTTGAGTTACGAAAAAACAGAAAAACAGAAAATTTACAAGGATTTATTACAAGGAGTATGAATCAGTCGTTAAGGAGGCAGTCACACTTCTTGAATTAAAAAAACAGACCGAAGACTCATTTGTTCAGGAGCAGTTTTCCTTTAGTTTAATTTTAGTTGGTATCTCATTTTCTTATTAGTGACTAATTCTTTCTCTTTTCCTTATTCTCCAAAGTGCATAGGGACTAAATAATGATATGCTCTATACAGTATCATTATTATTATTATTACACTAGTGACAAGCCTCCAGGTTTTATTTTGTCAAAGGGTTGGGGTTACAATAAGATTTTAGGTCAGGTTAAAGATTAGACTTTGGGTTTGGTATAGTATTAGATCCAGTGCCGGTAGGATATTTACTGCTCACCCGATTTTCGCAATTGTTGTGCATGATGTACAATCCTCTCCATATAAAGCAAAAATACTGCTGCCATTGACTTTGTAAATGTATGTGGTATTTTTGTCATCATCCTTCCCATTATCATCATTATATCATTTTCATCATCATTATTATCATCATCATTATAATATCATCTTCTTCATCATCATCATTATCATAACCACCACCACCACTACCACTGCTACTTCCACTACCACCACCGGCCACCACCATCATCATCATCATAATATCATTTTTATCATGTTTATCATCTTCATCATCATCATCATCATCACCATGACCACCACCACCTTTATCATCAACACCACCACCACCATCATCATCATCATCATCAACACCTTTATCATCATCATCATCATCACCATCACCACTACCACTATCATCATCATATCATTTTCATCTTCTTTATCATCTCCATCATCACCATCATCATCATCATCGTCATCACCATCATCATCGTCATCACCATCATCATCGTCATCACCATCACCATCATCACCATCATCACCATCATCACCATCATCACCATCATCACCATCATCACCATCACCATCATCACCATCATCATCGTCATCACCATCATCATCGTCATCACCATCACCATCATCACCATCATCATCATCATCACCATCATCATTGAAGTATATTATTATTTAAATTTTTATTATGTATTTCATGAACCTAGGAGGCCACCTCACCCCACAGCCATCAATATTCCACAGCACGTCCAGGCAGCAGTAACAACAGACGAAGGCAGAACAAGTTGAACTGTATGAAATGCGGACGCGAGTTCTCTATTGAAAGGGTACAAGATTATGAAGACCACCAGAGACACTGCGGGCAGAGCAGGTTGACCTGTCTTAGGTGCAGACGAGAGTTCTCTCCTGATAGGCAACATGATTACGAAGACCACCAGAGAAGTTGCACAGGACATTGAGATTGAATCATCATGGTAAAAGTTGACCTTTTGTGTTTTCGTAAATTTAACTTCCGATTCACAATCCTGAAAAACCTGTGTGGAACATCAATTTTCTTTGTTTCTTTGATTCTTCTTTCTTCTTTTTTTTTCATTTTAAGCTTGAAGATTGAAATTAAAACCCAAGTTACAAGTGGGGGACACATGTAAATGTACAAATTCACTATATTTCTTACTTTTTAGCAATCTTTTTAAATCCTTTTCTACACAATGTCTGTCCATATTACTACCCAAGTGCAGCAATAAAGAAATAAACCTGTATATTGTTATTGCCATTTAAAAAAAGAAAAGTTCATTAATGTAATTGACATGTAGTCAATTTCTCTTGTTAGCGAGTACATGTACTGTAGATCCAGAAACTTTCGCGTGTTGCAAAAATTTAGTGTTGTGTCCATTGTGATCCAAGTATTAACGCACGGCACATTTTGCGAATCTGAAACGCTTTAAATATCTCATGCATGCAATGGTTTTTGTTTTTACAGGACATAAAATCAAGTACATATGATTGTATTATATAGCATCAAAATTTGGTAATTAAAGTTTTTTACTCAAGGGCCCAGTTTTATAAAGACTTGCGATCCAAATCAATCGTTAGTCCTTCAATCAATCGCAAGTTTGCAGTCTCTTATCTCTTATGTACATAGTTGTGATTGATATCAATCGCAAATAAGTTGCTATTAATAACGAATCTTTGTAAGATGGGGCCCCAGGATGTACATATTTTTTTGGTTCATTCTATCAGTTTTAACCTTGCCAAGTGTGCAGTGAAATATTTCTATGTTCATTTTTGACGGAATATAATCTTGAGTTACAATACCATATTGCAATGATTGTAATGTTTAGTACTGCATTGTATTGTTTGTTTGAAAAGTGGCGTATCTTTGATGAGGTACTAGTGTTTGTTAAGTTATGTTTCTTGTATTTAAAAAACAAAAATACAGAATATTCAGTTTACACCTGATCATTATACAGAAAACTAAGCATGCAAATCAAAGAAAAATGAAGATATGATCTGTAAATCAAAATACAAAATTTTATTTAGTACCATAATACAAATATAGGTTTTCACTTAAAAAATTAATGCTTTGATTTTACTTTATTTACATTATAATTGCACATATTGGGAGGTAATTACATGTACATACTGTATGAATGGAAAGTGTGGAGTGTTTCCTTCCTCATTATAAGTATGGTATAGAAAATCATGAAATAAAATCATGAAAGTTATGTTACATGGTTACAGATTCATATATTGCTTCTCGCATTCAGATACACTTTGTAGAATCCAGAGATATTTTGCAACACATACTGTATTGTGTGTGACACATCAATCAAATTGTTTTTATATTTACTATGTAGAAAAATACAGTGAAACCCATCTATTAAGGCCACCCACAACAATCACTTTTTTCTAGAAGCTTATATCCGTAGGAATTAAGAAGAATATTCAGAATTTTAAGTATTAGCAATAAAAATTGATAGATTTTTAGTACACATGAAATGTTGTTTTACTGTACTACACAGATTATACATTATTTGCATAATATATATCTCATACTGTCATGAGAATGTTTTTGTGGGACATTAAGATACTGCATTTATCTGTTTAAGTTTTAACTTGAACAAGAAAAGTTAATTAACATCATATCTTGCAGCTCACCCATAAGAATTTTGATTTTCTTTGTTTAATCCTACGAAGGCTAGAGAATCATGTTTTAATACTACCATTGCATGTATATGTCATTAACAAAAATATATATATTTGTAATTTTGTTTTTTAATACAAAATATTACAAAAAATAAAAATTATATTGGTATTTTTTGCATACAATACTGAAATATATTATGATGATTTGAATCAATGTTTGTTTCTATACAAATTAGAAACATTTTATTATTCACATGTACTATAATTTCATAAATCTCACATGAAATACGTATATATCAATATAAAAAGTACATGCATAGTACTTTGAAGTCACACATCATAAAAAATAAGACACTCTGACTCATATAATATAAAAAGATTCAAATTTTAGTATGAATGTTAGGATTGAATCTCAAAACAGTTGCATACATGTATAATGCCAGTGGAATGTAAAAAAATGCATACCAATAGGAGCCAGGAAGACAAAACTCATTATTTTACGTAAATTGAACACCTTTCTGGCTTTAGGTCATTCGGGCCCTGTTTCATAAAACTTGTTATCAATAACAAGTTGCAATAACTGCTAAAAGCTTCTGAAATTGTTGAATTTGATTGCCAAGAGCAAATTTGCTATAGAAATTTCTGTGAAGGGATTATTCAGATTGTCCTCAAATTTGACACACTATTAAGATCCCTCAGTTATTCAAGATATTCAAGATATTTTATTCAACCATAACCATCAAAGATTAGTTGACTAGACATACAACTCTGGCAGTCAAGAAATCAAATAATACTTGTAAGGCAAATAAAACTTTTCAACATTGTCATTCACATATGACTTGCATGTACTGTAAACACAGAAACTATAATTCATGGTTGCAATTCAATTATTTTGCTGCATTAAACTGTCATAACTCTGGATCATGCAAAGATTCTGATATATATCTCAGTATTATACATCGGTTGTAGAAACAAAAATGTCATTTCATTCATATATAGCATGCATATACTGTAAACACAGAAACTTTCAGTTATTGCTATAATTCATGATTGCAATTCAATTCTTTTACTGCAAAGATTCTGATATGTATAACAGTAGTATACGTTGGTTGTAGAAACAAAAATGCCAGTGGTAAAAGACATTTCACATGTTGAGGAAGTTCAGACATCCGTTTGTTGTCTGGTTCACTACTGGTGGCTCTCTGTGCTGTAGAAGGCATCTAGGTATCCACAAATAAAATCAGAAACGAGAGACCTGTCCGGTAGCGTGGAAGCCATCCCATAGATTGCAGCCTGTAAATCATGAAAGAGTTGGACAAAAAAAAAATAATAGTTTCAAAATACCACTTAACAGGAGACAAGAAAAGTGGTCTTTCTATACAGGTGGTTGCTTAAAGCAGGTTTGACTGTGCTTTTGTAGGTGACAGGACATACATGTAAATACATTTTTTAACACAAGAAACTGTAAGGTTGCAAATGATACACGATAGAACATATATTGGGTTGTTAGGCAATATAAGAAATATTTCCTTCTTGAAATATGATGTGAAATTTGTTTTTGAGTGGTATATTCATATGCATTGACACAGATTAACCTGTTTGTTAATATTACTGTTAGTCATGAGATTAAAAATTAGAAAAACAAATTTTGTATTTTGTTTCTTTTCTTTGTTGTTGCCTTAGTAAGGATGAGACTATGGAGTTACATTTGTTGATTTTTTTCCTTCTCAACTCTTGAGTGCTCTATTTGACATGTTTTGCTTGTAAATGTATTTTGACTGCATAGAGTTTTTTATAAGGTTCTAATAATGAATATCATATTTTACTGAATCCCCATTGAACAAAGTAAGGAAAATTCTTCAGATCAACATGGTTTCATCCATACGCACCTTCGTGCCAGGTACATGTACACTGTGATACAATGGATGTACATTGACCTTGGGGTGAATAACATTTAACAAAGCCTAGCTACCATTAATGCTTTCGCCTTTAATTGCATTGAGGGTCTTTCATGAGCTATATGCATTTTGACCTCCCTGTGCTCACTATACCATTCACATTGGTGTTAGGGATGCTAGGTCATAGGTACTGAAAAGTGATATGTGCTATACAAGTATCATTTATTATAATGTTATCATTATTTCATGATCTGTTATCAAGTAATGTAAACAGACACTCCCCCCATTTTATCTTGAAATAGTTGACCCCCCTTTTGACCTCCCAATTCTTACCATGCCTTCTGCTTTAGCATTCGGGTCTTTCATGATCTGTGCAGTGCCCTCCTCCACGTCGGCTATTAACTGATTGGCCGTCTCCTTGTTGAATAGATCAGTCACAGTCACACAAAGACTAGCAGAGGAAGAGAAATAAAAGACATATTTGAAATGAATAAAACTTTTTTGATGAGACTAGAATTCAAACAAACAATATCAAGGATATACATATATGTTTAAATAATTTGTGTCTTGTGTATTGGACAAAGAGAATGCAAATATAAATAAGGAAAGTAGAGAAATATATTTTGCCAGTTGATTCAAACAAACAAAAAACAAGGATTTGCATACTATATATGGATATACAGTGCATGTATGTTTTGTCGCTTGTTTATTGGAAAAAAGAAATTTTAAAAAGGAAAAAGGAAAAAAACAAACAAATACTGTTGCAGTGGTTGACAAAATGATATGAGAAATACAATAATAATAATCACCATCATTAACATCATCACCACCCCAACCATCATCACATTTATCCTTACCACTACTACTACTATTTAACAGACTTTTCATTTAATATCTATGGATAATAAAAAAATCTGAAATGAACTACATAACATCGTCATACACACTAACATCACCATCATAATGATCACCGCCATCATCAACATCACTCCCATACACTGAGGTAATTGGCAGTGTAAACACCTGCCATCCTATTTCAGTATTATCCAAAATCATGATCACAAACAACAATATCATCCTCATCCTCCTCCTCCTTCTCCTCATCACCATCATAATCATCATAATGATCACCACCATCATCAACATCACTCCCATACCCCAAGGGAATTGGCAGTGTTAACACCTGCCATCCTATTTCAATATTATCCGAAATCACTAACAATTACTATCATCATCACCATCACCACCACCACCACCTTCATCATCATCATATCATTTTTATCATTTTCATCATCATCTTCGTCATCTTCATCACCACCGTTATCATCGTCACCATCACCATCATCATCATCATCATCACCTTCATCATCATTGACATCATCGTCATCATCATCATCACCATCATCATCATAATCATCACCATCATCATCGTCATCATCATCATCGTCATTTACCCTGAGGGATTTTGAACCGTGTACATCTGCCATCCTTTCTCCGTCAGGCACGTCCCCAAACGGAAGACGTCAAAGACATTGGACGCGATCGTCACCGCACTCACCTTGGGCTGGCCAATCACAGTGATGCCTTCAATCTCCCTCAATCTGTAATGAGAAATCACAAATTGCCAATTTGCACCAATGATTAAATATTGACCCATTCCCATGATCAATAATTTGTCTACTCAAATTCAGTTTTGTTTTACGTGCAGATTTTCCTTTTCCTTCAAAAAAATAAGACATTGTCTTCTATCCTATATCCTATTTAAAATCTTTATATCCACTGCCTATCTAAGAACCATTTTTAACCATGCATGTAAATCCTTTTTTAGCATACCTTTTCTCGATTGATTCTCTGGTTTTGATAACTCTGTCAGCATGCTGTATGTATCCATCCAAGCCTTGTAGCATAAGAGTGGCCCAAGCAGTAGCAATCACAGCACCAGATCGAGTCCCTGTAGTAATAACATTCAATTATATCAATACCAACACTATTTGCTTTAAAATACACAGGGCAACAGATTTACTTACCTCTATTGCTCATCCTGCTTCCACTCAAGTCTCCTCCTCCTCCTCCTCCTCCTCCTCCTCCTCCTCCTCCTCCTCCCCCCCCCTCCCCTCCCCCTACCCTTTCTCTTTGTCTTCCTCTTCCTCTTCCTCTTCCTCTTCTTCTTCTTCTTCGACATTGTCGTCTCCTCCTTCTCCTCTTTTTCCTTCTTTTTCTTCTTCATTTTCTTCTTCTTCTTCTTCTAATTCTATTTCTTCTTCATCTTCTCTTTTTTTCTTCTCCTCTTTCTTCTCCTCCTTCCTTTTCTCCTCTTCCTCCCCCTTTTCTCATATGTTACTCAGTATGTTATCATGAGCAAATTATTTCACTTGATATACATTTATCATTAACAAGGTAATCTTAGTACACAAATATTTCATATTTTTCTAATGCACTAAGTCACGATCCTATTCATTTTTATATAAAAATCGATAAAACAGACAAGAGTGTTCACCTACCAGCTAAAGTTGGGGATGCGTAGACCCCTCCCACCCAGTCTGTGGAGACAAAGAACTGCCCCTGACGATACTTCTGATCACTGTACAGCACAACTGAGCTTCCTTTTGGAGCCTTGCCATACTGTGTGAAGAATGTATAGAAAAAGACTAATAGAAAACATCAAGAAAACACTGTTATTTTACCCTAAAATGTTAAAAAGAACTGGACTGTTTTTGTAGGATGATCCGACATTTGCTTTGGCGGCAATTGCTCCGCAGGATTTCTTTCGTAAATTCACATAAGAGATTCTATCAAGTAGGATGAAAAATTCCTGAAGATAATTTCAAATATTTTGGAAAGTATGGGAAGAATTTTTACGATTCTTTGTTATTTAATTTCTTCTGGGGATACACTGTAGAGGTACAAGTACAGTACCATAAAACTGAATCAAGAAAGATTTGGTACTGGTGTCAGTATACGTGACATGTAGATACCCCAATGAGATAGCTCTAGGTGATATCTCTCTCTATGTAAACAAAACCTTGCCCTTAGCTCAGCTTGTCAATAAATGGAATCTAATTTGCATATCTCAGGTGAACTACAGGGAAGATAACATTCAACAATGACAAGAATAGGAGGGCTGATGTTAAAGAGTACATGGCAAGATAAATTCAAAGGCAACTTATTTAACTCATTACCTAGGGGATCCAGATGGCTCCTGTATCGTGAGAATACAAGAATTCAGTAGTCGATTGATTTTAGCTATATAGATTTCTCTCTTACAAGTAGCTCCTATCAAAAGTCTTCCCTTGAGTAAATTAGCCGATACACGGAATCCTCACTCCTTCCCCTCATCACCCTCCCTCCTTTCTTTGTTCCATCCCACTTTGCTTCACCACCTCTTTCTCTCATTCTTCCTTTTCCTACATTTGTCCCTAGCTCTCCTCTGTATCTTTTGTTCTGCTTCTCTCTCTCTCTCTCCCTTCCTCCCTTCCTCCCTCCCTCCTTCCCTCCCTCTCTCCCTACCTCCCTTCCTCCCTACCTCCCTTCCTCCCTACCTCCCTTCCTCCTTCCCTCTCTTCCTTCCTTCCCTCCCTCCATCCCTCCCTCTCCCCCACCTTCTCTCTCTCTCTCTCTCTCTCTCTCCCTCCCTTAAATATCCTTTTCGCTCTCCTAGATTACTGGTCAACCCTCCTCACAACATTTCTCTTTTAACAATAATAATGATGAGCAAGGTGCTCAAAGCACTCTAATATCACTCTCTTGGCTCTACTAGGCTACTGATTTTGGTGCTCACAGCATTCAAGTAATTCCTTCCTAATGGTACCCATTTTACATTTTACATTTTACTGTTTTGCCAAAGGACATTAGTACTGCGACGGGACTCACGAACCATGTGATCCACAGTCTGGTAACAAATCCACTAAACTACGACGCCTCAATCTCCCTTATAAATTCTTACCTTGTGTAAATCAGCTGATATACTGGTGATCCCTGCCACGCTGAAGTCTGAAGGGGGTATGTCATGACCCCCTAATCTCAGGAAGGGGTACAAGAACCCACCCATGCACATGTCAATGTGAACAGGGATATTGTACTTCAAGCCAAGCTGGGGTCGAAAAATAAAAACAGTTAAAAATTGAATGAGTTATCATACTTTAAAAAACAAGCCAAGCTGAGTTTAAAAATAAAACAGTTACAAATCGAATTGTTAAACTATAAAAACAAGCCAAGCTGGGGTTGAAAAAATAAAAGTTACAATCTAATCAGTTATCATACTATAAAAAACATAATGCCCAACTAATTGATGTAATACTAAATATTTATTTATAGTATTTCTATTCAGAATGTCAATGTCAGAGCATAATTACAAATCTTTTCAAGTACCACACTGACTCATTTGACTAAATGCACTGAAGACCTATAGTGACTTGGAGATAAAAATATCAGATCAATAATGACAAATTAATTTAATATTTGTATTTCTTCTTTTAGCTACTGTTTCATCATTTCCATTAACATTGTGATATGTTTAACATACATGAAATTGCTAGCATCTTTGTGAAAAACATAATTAAAAACAATTATCAATAATCAGTTCCTTTATTTACATGCAATTAAACAAAACAACAAAAATAATAAAGTATAAAGTTAGATGTAGTACATCGAAAGAGAGATATCAAATGTTGTTTTGGTTTAAGTTGAGATAAAGGAAGGCTCACCTTGGCAACTTCTGAGATTGGATCAATAATACCATGAGGAAAGCATGGAGCTGAGACTACCAACATGCAAGTGTTCTTGTTTATCATCTTCTTCATGGCCTAAGACAAAAACCAAATTAAACATGACATAACTGAAACTTGCAATAAAACTATAAAGGCAAAATACAGGAAGCATGATTCCTGATATAAAGAATTTTTGATGGAGGCGTGATGGCTCAGTGGTAGCTAGTGGATAAAACCAAACTATATACATGCAGCATGCTAGAAGCTAACCCTATTCTATACAAACAGAAAAGGTTTATGCGGCTATTATTCTAGTTAGCTTTTTGAAGTCTGTATTTTGTATCGAATGGCTGGACACACACCTACATGCAACTTCTCGTTATTTCTGGCAGGCAGTCAGCTAGAGTCCATTATCATAGTGTAGATAATGACCATTTAGCTGGTCCAACTTTTTTCCAAATTTATTCTATGACCATTTAAAGCCTGTCTGTACTAGTTTGGCCAGTGGGATTAGACCTACCGGCAAGGTCACTGACAGGTTGTTATCTCATCAAATCAGCTCTCAATTAACATAAGAAATAGAGGATCATGGTGGACCAACAGGCACCGATTGGGCATTGTTTGCTATATAGAGGGCGCAAGTAGCTATAAGTAGTGTAGTGTGGCTTTAAAATGCCTGTCAACACATCACAGCTATAAACACCACACCATGCATAAATAAAGTGTGCCATCCAGTCTCTTACACTGTACCTGTACATCAGCTTTATAAGTAGTCTTGTTCAGAGGAGTTCTAACAATCCTCATTTCAAAGAGATGAGCTGCCTTCTCAAAAGCAGCGTGACCACAGATTGGAAGAAGACTAGCAGATAGAAATTAGAAAGTTGAAGATTTGTTTATGTTATATGGTTAAGTTTCAAAAACTTTATTCTAAATCTAATGCAAAACCCAGTCAATTATTTCTCTTTCCTATTGTATACATCTAACAGGTAAAATAAATCACTGAAGTGCATATATATATATATATATGTATGATATCTTCCATCTTCAAAGGCTAAACTAGACTCTTGCTATCATATTGTGCTATGGACCCCTTGATATTGAATATTAGTGTGTATAAAATGTATATGTGGACCAAGAAAATAAAGATGTTACTTTTCAAACACTGAAACAGAAGCTTCTACCATAAGTTGTTCCCTTAAAAGAATCTAACAGAGAAATGTTACAAGATAGATCTGTGACATCCCAAATAGACTCTTGAAATTGGATAGAGATGACTTTTTTTGTATAAGTTTGCGGTAGGCTACAGTTAGGAAGGAGATTTCAATGTTTGGTTGAGAAACAAATACATGTACATGAAGTACAGGTGCTCTCTGATATGTGCTCTAGCAACAATTTCTCCATGAATTATTTTGTCAAAGATGTTGGATTAGGGTTACGGTAAGGTGTTATGTTTTGTCCAGGGTGCAATGAAGGTAATAATTTGGTTAGTGTGAGATAAGGTACATAGGGCAATTGCCGCTGGAGTATGTGCACAGCCAGGGGGCACAAGGGTTCATGCATCCCCTCCCCTCCCTGTTCACCTGCTGAAAGAAAGGTCATAAGGTTCAAGTCCCAAACCCAACCCTTTCCCTACTCCCGGTGTTTGGAGTGACTTTGTGAGCTGTTATGTCACCCCCCCCCCCCTCCCTACCCTTTCCCCCTTCACCTCAAATGTGCCCCCAAACTCAACACTGAAGTCTGGCTATGTCTAGTGAGTATGTGTCATAATACACCCAAAGTAGCTGGGATAATTATTTGGTATGGAACACAATTTCTTACATTTCTGGTCTCTGAACACCTCTAGCTCTTGCAAGCTCTCTGTAGGCCAGACAGGCTAGCAAGAGGCTCTCCGTTCCTCCAGATGTGGTCTAGTTTCATCAAAACAATACAAAGTGGGCAAAAATTACGTTCTTTATTATCACCAGCTATCAAACACTTGCTTTTTCTTTCAACAAAAAAACAGATAACATTTAGTTCACAGAGTGTTTTGAATGAAAGATAATTGTTGATAGCATTCATTTAGATTTCTTCTTCAGAGCTTATTAAGTTAAATTTTGATTGTAGAAGATATAAAGAACAAAGAAATGGGTCGTATGGTTCCACAGGACTCTGGTTCTTCTTTTGTATTGTATTTATATAATCGTGGTAACAAATTCACAATCAGTCATAACTTTTCAGTGAGTCTGTGTGCATTGTTAACACTAAAAAGTGAAATTAACACACTATCATTGAACAAAATATATAGAACAAATTTAAATATCTATAAATAAAGAACATGAAATGAACAGAGCTTTAATAAAAATATAATTATACTCATCAAATTGTTGAGAACATTATAAAACTAACAATTTCTACCCTCCCCTCCGCCCCCCCCCCCCCCCTCCCCCTGTTTGCCACTCTCCAGTCTCCACCAAGGTGTTGAATGGAACCAGTAGGAAGGATTTCCTTGAATGCTGTAATCACTCGAATTGGAGCACCTTAAGCAGCATGCAGGTTGGATATGAGCGCAACAAAAACATAAAAATATTATTATATCAAATAAGGAATAGGACTTACCGTTCCACAGGACTCTGGTCCCCCTTTGAAGATATCACAGCACATGGCCACGATCTCAGCCTCCATCTTCCTGACTCCAGGGAACACACCGGGCTGAAGCAGATTGGAGTTACAAAACAGCTCAAAGACCTGAGAGAGAAAGAATATTAAGAGAGATATGGGGTGACATGGGCATTTGTAGAGGTGTTGTGGCCTAGTGGATAAGTCAGCCGACTGCAGATCACAAGTTACAGGGTTCAAATCCAAGCCCAGCACTAATGAAGGAGAAGGCTAATGACAGACATGATACAGAGGGATTGAGAAAGAACTAAAGAGGGCTCTGGTGTGTGGACCTGCCCAGAGCCATCTATTCACAGAGTTTGGCCAATCTGGTTCGAGTGGGACACAATATGGCGACTACTGCTTTGTTGGGCAAGCACAAAACAAAAGAATATTGCGCCATGTTGTGACCCAGTGAAACCAAGTTGGCCAAACTATGTGCATAGATGGCTCTGGACCTGCCTTTTGCAGAACACCTGAGAGAGAGAGATTCTGTACAGGCTACATGTATTTATATCATTTTGTTAATCTCTGATGCATTAGATTAAACTTAAGTCAGTGTCTCAGTGTAAATGTACATGTATGACAATAGGGAAATTCATATTATATGTCTCCTTCGTTATTGTCATTGTCCTTTCTTATCAATTTAGCAAGTGCTTGGAGACAAACAGAGCTGTTTATCATATCATCTGATTATTAAGTCATACTTTAACACATATCAAACACCCTTCTGGCTCCAAACAAACAATATTTACAAATTGAGACACTGTGTCTCTCAGTGTCTGTTTTCCGTTGTTTGTCTGCTGTTCGTAATAACTGCAATTGATTCTGCATAACAGCACCCTACGTCCCCCCCCCCCAACCTTCCCCTTCACACACCCCAGAGTTGAATGGAACCTTGAAGCACTTACCTGTCCCATGATCCCATGGTTTTCTCCAGTGTATACCGTCCCTGATACCTTGCCTTTCTGCCAATCTATCTCCTCTGAATAACAAAACAGAAAGAAGAACAATTGTATTAGACATGTAGAAATCTTTTTTTTCTCATCAATATGATTATGACAGATAAACAATTGCAAGGAATACCATCAAGAACATGATACATTTACAGAGTAGAAGAGTATCTACAGAGCTGAAGCTACGACTCCTTGGAGCGACAGTCTTCAGCGTTGCCACTTACCGCTGTGGATCATGGGCGCCAACCAAAAATGACAGAAAACGCACTGATGCATTTGAGATATGCCATGGTGCTATAGACGTCTTCTAAGGATATTCTGGCAAGACAAAAGATCAAACAATCGGGTGCTTGGAAGATCTCATAAGAGAAAGGAAGCTGAAATATTTTGGGCATATCATGAGTAGGAAAAACAGAATTGAGAAGTAAATTATTCAGGGTGCCCCGGAGGGACATTGAGGTAGTGGTCGTCCAACGACAGCTTGGACAGATGGAATAAGGGTCTGGTTAGGTGGAAGTTTGGCAAGAGCTTCAAATAAAGCTAGAGATAAAGGAAGATGGTGAGCATTAGTGAAGGCCACATCAGTGCCTATGGGCACCATCTAACAACGAGAGAGAGAGAGAGAGAGAGAGAGAGAGAGAGAGGGAGAGAGGGAGGAGGGAGAGAGAGAGAGAGAAAGAGAGAGAAAAAGAGAGAAAAAGAGAGAGAGAGAGAGAGAGAAAAAGAGAGAGAGAGAGAGAGAGAGAAAGAAAGAAAGAGAGAGAGAGAGAGAATGCGCATTAGTTCATCATACGATCTACCTGCACTTGTGTTGAGACTGCTTTAATTCAAAGCCTGAAGGTTTTGATCTATCTCATCTCATTGCAAACAATGCTACAATCCAAGTCCTATAACCACACCCCTTTTTCTATCTCACCTAGATTTTTGTAGTTCTTCTTGACTACCGACATCAGTTCTTGGTGGCTCAAACCAGTCTTGGGTAGCGTGGTCCTATAATTCTCACCCTTAGGCAGTTTGAAGGACGACTGGGCAATGTTGGTCTTGGTACTCTTCAGCTCCTTCTTAATCTGTATTTTACACAAAATAATAAAATAGGATAATTACACTCTATTTGAAAGCTTTTAGCATGCATGCCTATATCAGTAAAATAACTAATAACTTAACAGGTATTCTGAAGAAGTTCTTGAATTGGTTTTCTACATGTGCCTCGCAAAAATTTGAAGGGGGGGGGGGGCTTGAGCACCACCAAAACCCCTATAGAACTGCTACTGAATGCTACTGAATTCATTTTAAACTAGACCTAAAGCTAGAACTCAGGTACTAATAATTATTTAACTCATAGGCATACTATAGCCCTTAAAATATACCAGATGTGTGGGTAGAAAGGACGCAAAATTTCTGCAAACATGCACTTTGTCCATATCTGTTGCATATTGACCGTATTTCATATGACACCTGGATTTTCAAAAAAACAAATCATTGTCTTTCGATCAAAGTTTGCTATTTTTTCTATTTGTCAACAAAGATCTAACCCTTGTTCTTTTCAGACACATTACATTTTAATAGAATAAAGTACAAAAATATGTCAAGACCATTTGATCAATTTAGCCCTTTAAAAATCCTTGTCCTAAAAGAGTAAAATATTACTGACCTTGCTACCAATAATTGGTGCACTCCTGAGCATCTTGAAGAACTTTCTCTTCCCTCTCTGCATCAAGGCTACAATCAAATATTAGAATTCAAATCATGGTCGCTGATTATGGTTATGATTATTATGATGGTGACAATGATGATAAAGTTGATTATCAACATTATTATTCATCCCATATGACCAGCTTCCTATATATAGATCTCATTCAGCTTGTGTTCAAAAACAGGCTTTGATATATATCTTCCTTGCTTTCAATCAATCCCTCCCCACCCCTAATCTGTACTCTAATCTTTGTATTGACAACATTAGGTGTTTTCTTTTTATTCCAACATAATCTTCAAGGAAGGACCAAAATCATGCATATATCTCAATCTCTAAGAAAACTTAAACAACATATGTTCCAGTGATTGTTGCTCAATTGACAATTGTCAATTTCCTACAATAATCAAATTACTTAAATCTGGACCAATCACTATATAGCCCTATATGTTACCTAACCCCTTACCCTAAACCTACATTTAACTTAAAGCCCCACTGTACTACTTGTAGATACTTGCTCCCTCTATATAGAAAACTTTCCCAATCGGTGCCTGTTGGTCCCCCATATGATCCTCTTTTTCTTATGTTAATTGAGAGCTGAGTTAATGAGATAGCCACCAGCTGTCAGTGACCTTGCCGGGTGGTCTATTCCCTGCTGAACTAGTACAGATGGCCTTTAAAACTCAATTCCAACCCTGACCCTAACTCGACATGAAAATTTATCTTTGAGGAACTACAGCCAGGAGTATCACCGATAGTATACTCACTCAAATCTGAGTCTGAATACCATCTGTACATCTCCATGGCAACAGTGACGAAGAACGCAGTAAGAGCAACCAAGAGAACAGGAGGCCATTCTGAAAGCGTGTCGTCCAGATGGTCCAGGGCTTCAGCCAATACAAGACCTCCTAAAGACTACATTTGCAGGACAAAAAGGAACATGATATAATTAAGAGTCGGACTATTAAAGGTACTATGTCCCATTTGCAGGCCAAAAAAATGAAAAGGTTATAATAAGTTCCAACGGCATTTGAAAGATAAAACTAATTTAGAACTTCCCTAAAAAAGGGGGGCTTAAAAATGTCTTTAAGTGGGAAAATAATGACTATTAGTTGTCGAATCGACTTAAGAGCTATAGAGCCACTAAGTAAAAGTCTGATTTTTAGACCTTTAATTGTACCGAATGGTTGACATTTTATGCTGCGCAAAGATTCAATCAGTTTAATTTTGGCCATTACAAGAAGTGGGTTATTGATGTAGACAAATGCTCATCTCCTCCTTAATTACAGCTCATTTTATGTATGTTAATTTGTTATAACCAAAGATCAAGAAAAAGGCCAGTTAGTCACACAAGTGAAGTCTAGCAAGTACACGGGATTCCTTGCATAAGTTGAATATTAGGACACTGCTAACGATAGGACATACATGACATTTTCATAATTCCTGCAAAGTTCTACAGAGTTTGTGTTGGCTGCAAAAGGGACATAGTATCTTTAAAGAGCCTAATTAGACTATTAAGGAGGAATATTGTAAATGTCCCAACAATCCAGATAAACTCCTCATTCTTGAATTCCTCTTTCCTCATAATATATTTCAATGACCTGAATCTCAATTTCGATCTCTCTCTATCCCTCTCCTAGATCCTCTCTACAATGTATCTCTATCTATCCCAATGTAAAAAAAACACTTCTGTTCGAGAGGAGCTCTTTCTCTTGGGGAGCTTTAGTTTTAGGATTTATTGTTGTGAACATTTCTCAGTGTCAGTGATCATGGCCTGGTGATATACCAGTATATATTGCTTTTGGCCTCTTGAAATAAGCCACACATAGCTTGAGTGTCTATAACATAATGAACACTTACCAAGTATTCTAAAAAAGAATGAAACACGGAATCAATATGAATATCCATCTTTAACTGTACAGCTCGGCGGGCAGCTTGTGCGAGGCAAGGTGATATATCAAACGGACTGCAGGCCAGAGTTCGGGGGGAGTACGTGTGGAGCTAGCTGCTCCTAAGCTGTCGATCAGCTGGTGGTCAGCTCAGTTCAAAGTTTTCTGGGTCAGTTTTACCTTTGTTATTAGCTGCTTCACAGTTAAATACATTCAGGTAACGTTAACTTGGCCATTGGGTTATTTGGGACTTTGGACTAAAGTTACCTTCTTAAACGTTATCTTAAAATCTGCGTAGTTATCTTTAGGTCTATATTACTGCTCCAAGTTGCAATTGTTGACATGTAGCTATTATTAGCAGACCCAACTGTAGCAAAAAGAGCGCTAGCATATATGCGCTAATGCAATAGACCTATTATGCTAGCTTGATCGGATAGACTTCAAAACCTATGACAAGCAATTGAGGGGGGGGGGGGGGGTTCCGGTCCGGCCTGACCGGCCGGATACATTCATGACATATATATATATTCATCAAATAGCACTATAACCATCATGAATATTTGTACTTTATATTTTAAAACATAAGTCTTAAAAGATTTATGAATATTGCTAAAAGTATTATCTCCTTCAAATTCAGTGCACTATAAGAGAGATTATGTGCATGCATGCATGCATATATATGTGATAAATTTGTTTACCTTTTTTTCTTCTTTAAATATTAGTCTGTAAAAGGGTCTATTAATTATGATAATATATGTCAATCAGACAAGGCCAGCCAGATGATCCCCATGCAGACACCTGTAAGTATAAGGTATATGACTGGAGTTTATATATATATATATATATATATATAAATATATATGTATATAGTGGTTTTAGAAGAGGATTGGGGGGGGGGGTACAAATCAAACCTTTCCCCCTTTCAATTTTTATGAAATAATGTTATACCAACTTTGTAATAGGTAGACTATAATCCTATACTTGCAGCCCGTCCATCTGGGATTAGTTTACATACTCCATGCTCCGGTACGTACAACTAACTTTTTAATGCCAGAACTGAAAACCCATTCCATATAAGGAGAAAGGCTATATACATGTACCGGTAGTTTAAAACCCAGGTGTTTAATAAATGGATACCCAGGCCAGTAAGATACAAAGTTAATTGTAGTTTACTTGACATTGTAAGTGTCTATAAAAAAGCGCCTTGTTGGAATACTCCCCAGGGAGTGGAGAAGGTGCATACATTAATTGTAGGCTGACAAGCATTAAGAACCCGATGAGGGGGTTAATAATCTATAAAGCGCTTTAATAGAGTCATCGTCGATGAATTAATTAGCTTTATACAAACCCAGAATATCACTTTTATCATGAGAGCTCATGACATTGTGTTGTAACATAGCAAAAGTTGGGGAGGGGCATAAAACTAATAGACACAAACAAATCATAGAAACAATTGACTTATTGGTAGAGAACATGATTTAATTTCAGTCATTGAAAATGAAAACATCCGTGGAAGTAATGAGACGATATTCATTTGAATTAGAGTAGTCCACGGCAAATCATTTTTTATTGACTACCCCTTCTGCTTTTGCTTTTGTTCTTTAAATATGCCTACATTAACTTGTTTCTGTCGTTCTACTTATTTTATCCATGTACTTCACTGTAAATAATTGTAAACATTCATATGTATGGTTCATATCATTTGCATTTATGGAATAAAGTTCAATTGAATTGAATGGAATTGCATTAACAATATATATTGTCAATTAATGTTTGACTACATATTTTATTCATCAGAGTCTGGTGATGTTGTAAAACAAATTTGAAAACATTTGAAATTTGGTAAGTACCTTATGGCAAGTACTATACATATAAGACTATCAAACCAAATGCATGTACCCGGACGTTATGTGTCTGGACATGTGTATCCAGACTATTGATTTAAAACAGCAATTTGAAGAAGTTTACAAGCAATATTTCATAAATCTTTAAGACTCTATGTTGGAAAATATTATAATCAAGTCATACTATAAATAATTATAATAATAATTCACATAAGAAACATACTTACCTGTACTCAGCTTATCTTACTTATCACTGCTCTCTTAGACTTTGAAACTGTTAAGTGATAATTTCATGGATCTCAAAAGATTAAATACACAACTATTTATCATCACAATATTTATATTTCATGTCTTGAGTTTCAAAAACAATTAATCATGTATAGTTTGTTGAGAACTGTTTGAAGTCGTAATGAACTATTAGTTAATCAAGAAGGCACAAATTCATAGATCAAGTATGACTCCTTTCATACAAAAGTAATAAAAAAAAGGAGGAATGAAATGCTAGAGTACAATATAGAAATCTCAGCTATGTCATGAGGTCAACAAGCAAGCAACAAGTTTAGCTCTTGTACAACAGGTTTCAAATTATGAGTCCTTATTGTCACCTTTCATCTAAATGCAAACAGTGTTCCATACCTATCTTCACAATTAATGAAGCAAATGGAACTTAAAGTCACATAGAAGTCAGCTGTTTGGGTGTTTACCCAATAACAGGTGTTGTCAATCACCAGGGTTTAATAGCCTTTAGTTTTATGACCATTAGACCATATGTAATGCTTCGCTTTTCACCCTTGCCCGAAGCTCTCAGAGCGATTAGGGGGTAATTCTTGACTGGCCAACAGGTTTGCTGTGTGCAGATTTATACTCCCATTAATGGTATTTCCACCAAGTCTGGTGTCAGCGAATCATGGCCTTCTGCACATGGAAACTGCCAATCCAGTCCCTTTAAAATGAGACAAGACTTCTTTGTCAAAAGTTTTAGATGAAATAGAATTGAAGCATTACAAAGCACCCAATGCACTTCAAGTGTTACAAGATGTAGAAGATAACCAATAAAGCTTTCAAAATACATGTTGTAAACATATATATAATATTTAGAACAATTTACCAATTTATACACATATTTTCAATATTAATTGCAACAAATATAATCAAAAGAGTATTCATTTTAAGGCAGAATCATTTTTTGTTTATTACATAGAAAGATCCTCTTATTTTTTAAACTACAGTAAGATCTTTTAGATTATTAAGAACATTTAGAAGCACAAATGGTGATACATTATACATATAATAATCATTGAAAATACCAATATTTTTATTTAACTAAATTTTTGACAGTTAATAATGGCACATGTCAAATATATAGGATGTTTATTCAAACAATCAAAATAGAAATACAAGACTATCAAAATGGAATGTAAAGTACTTTAGTACACTTAAAAGTGAATGCTCATTAAACATTCCCTACATATAGTTACAAAATGACACCCTGCCAACAAAAAAAGTTGTAACAAAATTAATACACAAATACGCTAACTCTTTTTATGCTACTATTTCTCCAGAAAATATCAAGATTGCTATCTATGCCAAAATTACCCAACAGCAGTGGTAACACAATTGAATCACGAACAAGGATCATGACAAGTTTGCATAGTATTTGAAAAACAAGGCCTGTAATTATTTCATTATTTATATTTGATGCGTATCATGGTTATAGTAATCACATATTACTTTGTGAAATTGAAAAGAAATTATTCTTACAGAACAAGATACAGATTTAGTTCTTTCTCTTTTTGTTTATTTTCTTTCTATGTTTCTATCGATTCATAATTTTTCATATACATCCAACAATACTCATGTTCATACTGAATTCAAAAGAAAAAGAAAAAGTAAATATTATTATCACGAGTACATATCTCACCCAAAGTAACAGTGAAATGTTGTCACAACAAATTTCCAAGACTACACCAACAGTCCTTTTCAGGACTACACACCCTCAAGAAAGATTACAGAGAGTCCTTTTCAGGACTCCTCAATCCTCTCTCTCTCTCTCTCACATGGTGCTACCGCAAGCCTACTTTATATCTACATCACCACGCAAGCCGATACTTACAAGCAGCATCAAATTTCTATTTGCTTTAAATTTTAAAGAACCAAATGCAAACATCATGTTCAAAATGTAACACTATTGTGCTTTATCAAATATCATCTAACCTTTAACTAGCTGATGAGCACACATCATGCTTGCCTCAGTAGTAACAGTGACATGTTTAAACAAATTTATAGTGAAGATTTAGAATAAACACCAAATGCTAACATGACACTCCAGATTTAACACTATGGTCAATGTAATCGGTAATCAAAATCCAACATTATGGAGCTAATTCAATGGGATTGGTACTCCAAATTCAACGCTATGGTGCTTAGTCAATATGATTGGTAATCAAAATTTAACACTATAGTGCTTATTCAATACGATTGGTAATCAAAATTTAACACTATGGTGCTTATTCAATGGGATCAGTTGAGTAGTAGGCATCTAGGTATCCTCTGGCCATGTCTGTTACCAGGGAGCGATCTGGAATGGCTTGGGCAGTCCCATACAAAGCAGCCTGTGTGGGGAAAAACAGCAGGAATAGAATTAGTTTTGGAATCAAAAGGCATTCCCCTAGCATGGCACTGCCAAAAGGTGCAATTTTAATACCCATTGGGTAATGAATTCTTTTAATACCATACACTTTAATACAGGTACAACCATAGCCAATGGGGTTAATAAGCAGACTGTCTCTTTACTCCAAAATAGGAAGAGAAGAGGAGCATGGTTGTGCTCATATCGTAAACAATTGTTCCCTGATGGAGTTTCAAAATATTAGGACCATTACACACTAAAAAGCCAGCTTTTCATGTTGTTTGGAAGGGGAAAAAATACAACAGACTGACTAATGGCTCTTAGGGTCAGAGAAATTCACTGATATTTTTCACATTCCATGACTTTTCCCTCACTGGTCAAAAACTAATTTCTCAGGTTTTCCTTGATTTCTAGTATATCTGGGAGCTCTGCTCAGAAGACATTTGCACAAAATAAAACAAGGCAGATCATAGATTCATTGATATTTTTCTCAACTGTATTAGTTATGATAAAGAATAATAATTGGGTCTTATTTACCAAGGGTAGCCATAACAGTATTAATACTGCTAGCCCTGTAATTATTATTACCCTAGCATTGCCATATGCCCATATAAACCTAGAAAGAGTGTGGCAAATGTGGATTAATGTCTTGCCAAAGGATGTTAGGTGCTATGTTGGGATTCAAACCCTCAACCCTTGGATTGAGAGTCAAGTGAATAAACCACTATACCATGACAGACACCTACACATAAGGAGGTTACAAATGGAGAGTATACTCACACTTCCTGACGCCTTTTCGTTGGGCGTCTTCATGATTTCTTCTGTACACTCTTTGACATCCTGGATGAACTGTTCGGCTACTCCAGGAAATGTCTGACGCAGGGTCACACACAGGTGGAAGCTAAAATATAGAGTGCAAATCGTTTAAAGATAAAGGTGAGTTCTGGTCATCCGATTGCATTGTGAAAGAAAAGGTGTGGAATGGATCAGAAAAAGTTGATCATGTAGTATGTAAGTATTTGTGTGTACTGCAAAGTTCTGGAGTCATCAAAATCATAATAAAAGTGGCCGAGTCTTGGTAAAGTAACAAGCACTGTACACAGAAAGATGTATATGGGACTACACAAATGGTGTCGGGGCTACTAACCTTGATTTCCTAATCTTTCTATGCTCATTACTCAGCCAGTATACATTTTCTACCAAAATTGTTTGGCAAATGACATTTATTTGTAATCTTGAACATTCAGAGTAAGTTTTGTTTGATTCTGTGAGAATTCATTTTTTTTTTTTTTTACCAGAACACACCTTTATCTTTAAGTAAAGGTACTTTCTAGCATTTTTACAGAAATTAAATGCTTATCACTTTGGCTTAAAATGTAAGAAAAAATAATTGATGATAGTTTTCAGCAAAATTGATCAACATTTAGACGAGGAAACCGACATTCATCATAACTCTGAGTAACAATTCTATTCTTGCGATGGTAGATACAATGCTACAATCAAAGATATTATCATGAATAGAGAAGTAGCAATCCAAATATCTAACTTTTCTCTGAGGTAAATGTACTTCTTTGTAGTAGTCTAAATGGAGATATACGAAAGCCCCACTGCACTACTTATAGCTACTTGCTCCCTCTATATTGCAAACAATGCCTAATCAGTGACCATTGGTCCCCCATGGTCCCCTTTTTTCTTATGTTAATTGAGAGCTGATTTGATGAGATAACCACATGTCAGTGACCATGCAGGGAGGTATAATTGCTCCTGGCCAAACTAGTACAAATAGGCTATAAACGGTTACTCATCTAGATTTTACTTTTACTTTTACTGTATTTTCTTCCACCTTTCTTTCCACTTTAAGGGAGGAGGAGTACTGATCATCGGCTAGCCTACCTTGAAGGGAACTGAAGGGAGTTGAGGTTCCACCCTCGCTCGGTGAGGGCTCCTGACAGACGGTAGATGTTGAAGACCTTTGACCCCACGCCTACCACGCTCACCTCAGGATTGCCATACACAAAGAGGCCGGGGATCTTACCAACTCTGCACATGGGAGAGAGTGACAGAAATTTGAATAGTTTTGATTTGTAGAACTGATCATCTCTTAAGGACACATAAAAGTTGAGTCTCATGGGGGATTTGACACCGGTTCAGGTGTTTACCCAATTCTCAATCACCAGGATTAGCCTTCAGTTTTATGACCAACAGACTTTATGTAATACTCTGTCTTTTACCCATATGGTAAGGCCCTTATCTGACATTTGCACCACACGAGTGGAATACAAGTTTGCTGTGTGCAGACTTGTACTTCCATCAAGTCGGGAGTCAGTGAATTATGACCTTCTGCACATGGAAACTGCCGATCCACCTACTTTAAGTGATTTCATCTAATTCGTTTTTGTGATAACAGAGATCCAATGTGCAGTGCACTCTAAGAGTAGAGTCTTACAGTGTATATATTGTTCATGGTTATTCCTGGTGTTTCATTATTATTACCCAATCTTGGCACGAATGCCCTTTAAAGCGCTCAAGCATTTGAAGGAATTTTTTTCTGATAGGTATATGTTCCCTGATACATCACCTGAATGGATTGCGGCAACTGTAGATTAATGTCTGGCAAAAGGATATTAGTGATCCTACAGGGATTTGAACTTGATACCTTGTGGTTCACAGTCTGGAGTTTTATGCACTGGACCACATCACACCTCTAAATCCACATTACATTTTACTAATGCATACTAATGGACACTTACTACGGATACAAAATTCATGATAACATTAATATAGTTAACAATACATGATTGCAATAATGCACAATATATAGCTATTCTCAGTCAATCACTTTATTTATCACTTCACCAACTGTTTTGGAACAGTTAAGTAAATAGACATACGTGTACAGTATAGCTTGAAATCAAGTAGACCCTCTCATACTGTCAAGCGTTTCTGCATGTATTATACCATAGACTTATCAGAGAATAGCGTTGAAAAGAGCAATAACTAAAGCTTTTTGACTTGCACTCATCAGAGTAAAATGCAAGAATGAAACAGAAAGCCGAAATCGATCAATATAAACGGAAACTAAAAGGAACAAGGCACGAATATAACGAGCCAGATTGGCTGTCTAAAGTAATCACTTTATTTATCAATTCACGGACTGTTTTGGAACAGTTCATAACTTGCCATAGACTAAGGTTTGACTTGGTGTTAATGTGTCTACTTTATTTCAAGCAATACTGTAGAATGAACCACTTTCAACTCACTCTTCAGCAACCTTCCTCGTAGTAGAGACAATCTTCCTGGTGTTCTCAACATATCCATCTTCACCAAAATACATCATCGTAGCCCAACAGGCAGCAATAATGGCTCCAGCTCGACTCCCTGCAGAGAGACATATAAAGTACATGTAATTTGGTCTTAACCCTTTGACTACTGCCTTTTCTCATTCCCATTGGCTTTTAACATAGGGACACCTGGTTCCTGTAGTCAATAGGTTAAAATAACTACTCCACGTTCAGAATTATATGAGGCAAAATAATGCAATAAGTATACATGGTGCAAGACGGTGAGGAAAATGAATGATTGGAATCTTTTCACCCTTCATAATTTTTTCAATATTTTGTCCTCTCCCTGTCTCTGTCTCTTTCTTCTTTTTTTTCTTCTTTCTCTCTCTCTCTACCCCTAGTAGCAGTAGTAGTAGTAGTAGTAGTAGTAGTAGTAGTAGTAGTAGTAGTAGTAGTAGTAGCAGCAGTAGCAGTAGCAGTAGTAGTAGTAGCAGTAGTAGTGGTAGTAGTAGTAGTAGTAGTAGTAGTAGTAGTAGTAGTAGTAGTAGGGGTAGTGGTAGTGGTAGTGGTAGTGGAAGTGGTAGTGGTAGTGGATGTGGTAGTGGTAGTGGAAGTGGTAGTGGTAGTGGAAGTGGTAGTGGTAGTGGTAGTGGAAGTGGTAGTGGTAGTGGAAGTGGTAGTGGTAGTGGAAGTGGTAGTGGTAGTGGTAGTGGAAGTAGTAGTAGAGCTATTTGTAGTGGTAGTGGTACAGGTAGTGGTAGTGGTAGTAGTTATAGTAGATGTAGTGGTAGATGTAATGATAGTGGTAGTGGTGGTAGAGGTACAGGTAGTGGTAGCGGTAGCGGTAGATGTAATGGTAGAGGTAGTGGTGGTCGTAGAGGTAGAGGTAGTGGTAGCGGTAGATGTACAATACACGCCGAAAATCTCCGCAACACGATTTACACGATTCAAAATTTACACGATTCGACTGCTCGCGGGAATCGTGTAACCATTTATTTTTACACGATTCGTTTTTTGCCAATGAAGCGAAATTTGAATCGTGTAAACGTGTAATCGTGTAAAATTACACGATTCCTCAATTCAGGTCGAATCGTGTAATCGTGTAATCTGCCCGCCGAAAATCTCCGCAACACGATTACACGATTCAAAATTTACACGATTCGATTGCTCGCTGGAATTGTGTTACAATTTATTTTCAGTGGTGATAGTGAGCAGGTTAAGGACGTCTAGTTCAGTAAAAGCAAGAACTTACTTCTTGGTTGAACGAGGACAACGTGGACGATACGAGGGGATAGCGAAGATTACGCTTTCTTTCTCTTGTATATATTTTTAATTGCAGTGTCTTGTCTCTAGTTTTATTATAGACTGTTTTAAAGTTTAAAAAAATCAGTCCACTTCCCGAAAAGCACTCTCGGATTTAATCCTCGGTGAGAAAAAAGAAAAAAGCGATGAACGACGAAGGAAGGGGAGAATTTTGTTATTTCTAAGTTGTAAATAAGTAAAAATGATAACAAAATGTAAAGGAGGGCTAACATAATTAAGTATGTTGTGATACTCTTACATTACAAGGCTGTACCAATTAGAATTATGTTCACCAGCTCATTCGTTACTATGAATATCGTTATACTTTTTTTATTCAATCATTATCCATTTTACAAACCTGGTTTGTAAAAACGCGTCAAAACGCGTCATATGACGCACGAAAACCAAGGATTGTCGACAAACCTCCTTTGTGAATTCGGGCCTTAGACTTTGATCACTTATTGCTTTTTAGCGTTCCTCATTTTCGTAAATTACCTGTTACAACATTGCATTATTCAGCTATATGTATAAAGAGCTACGGTCAAGGCTTAAGGGCACACTTCCTGTCACATACAAAAGAAGCTTACTCTGAATGTGCCCTGCCATTGACCCTCGCCGGGGACAAAGGCTGTTGCCCTAGCTACAGGCAGAGATCCTTACATAATACCTATTGTTCAGGGGGTTCCCCTTGAACATAGGATCCCCCTGAACAATAGGTATTACATGTACGTAAGTATGTAAGCCACTGGCTACAGAGTGTAGGGAACAGTTGCAAGCCGAGAGTGAATAGAAAAGTAAATGGCCAACTGTCTTTGAGTTACGTTTAGCTAGCGGCACAGTGTCCCCCCACTTTTTCAAGTTCCCCCAAAGTGCCCCTTTGAATGTAGGAAAAGTACCTATTTTACTTTGACAAGTGTCCCTATTAATTTGTAAAAGTGCCCCTTCCCCTTTTCAACTCTGATAAGTGCTCCTTTTCTTTTGACACATGCCCCTTTTCTTTCGACGAGTTCCTATTTTCCTTTGCAATAAATGTCCATTTTCCATTCTCATTAGTGTCCTTTTAATCTCTAGTAAGTATTCCTCTTGAAGTACGAGAAGTGCCCCTCTTCACTTTTGATAAATGCCCCCATCAACTCCGATAAATGCCCCTATTAAAATCTGATCGGTGCCCCTTTCCTTTCAACTAAAGCTTTTTTTTTATCTCTCTCTCTCTCTCTCTCACTCTCTCTCTTTCTTTCAATATCTTTCCATTCCCCCATATCTTTCTCGCCTCTCTTTCCTTCATTATGTTCCCCTCTTACCTTATTAATTTGTCTCTTTTCCTCTCCGTTTCATAGCCTTCTAATTTCTGTTAATTTTACTATGTTTCGCCCTTCTTTTTTTTATCACTCTATTTCACTCTTTCTTTTCTTCCGGTCAACTTTTTAGTTTTCCCTTTTTTCTCTCTTGCATAATTTTTTCTGTTTATCTTTATATCGTGCCTTTCAACCCTCGTTCTCCTTTTATATGTTCCCTTTTCCTCGTAGCTATCTTTTTTCCTTTTCTATTTCATCTATCATGTCTTCCTGTTTCTGACGTTTTCCTACCTTGTCTCACGGATTAGTATACGATACATGTTAGTGGAAAGTGCTGAGGTTTATACACGAATATAAAGTACAGTAATTAACTGATGTACACTGAAGGTAAGTTGTGTATAAAGCAATTGGTGTAAGCAGTATACGATTTAACGATTGTTGCAGCTTGTCGCATCGTTCTACCAATGCCCTTATAACCCTAATAACTATTTACACGATTACACGATTCAGAGCGACATTCTTCAATCGTGTAAATTTACACGATTACACAGTTACACGATTGTTGCATCTGGTCGAATCATCCGACCAATGCACTTAACTATTTACACGATTACACGATTCAGAGCGACATTCTTCAATCGTGTAAATTTACACGATTACACAGTTACACGATTCAGGTGAATCGTGTAAACCGTGTAATCCTAAAAATAAATCGTGTAATCGTGTTGCGGAGATTTTCGGCGTGTACTGTAATGGTAGAGGTAGTGGTGGTGGTAGATGTAATGGTAGAGGTAGTGGTGGTCGTAGAGGTAGAGGTAGTGGTAGCGGTAGATGTAATGGTAGAGGTAGTGGTGGTGGTAGATGTAATGGTAGAGGTAGTGGTAGCGGTAGATGTAATGGTAGAGGTAGTGGTGGTCGTAGAGGTAGAGGTAGTGGTAGCGGTAGATGTAATGGTAGAGGTAGTGGTGGTGGTAGATGTAATGGTAGAGGTAGTGGTAGCGGTAGATGTAATGGTAGAGGTAGTGGTGGTGGTAGAGGTAGAGGTAGTGGTAGCGGTAGATGTAATGGTAGAGGTAGTGGTGGTGGTAGAGGTAGAGGTAGCGGTGGTCGTGGTGGTAGAAGTACTGCTACTACTTCTACTTCTTCTAATATTACTAATATTAATTTGAATAGGATTATGATTATTATCATCATTATCATCACTACGATTGGCAAGGGTTTGTGATGCGAAACTCCTATATGGGTACATATCTATCTTTCTCTGTCTCTATCTGCCTCCATCTCTTTTTCAATCTTTACATTCCATTAATCCCTCACATCTTCTCTCCCTACATACCTCCAATAGTAGGCGTGGCGTAGATGCCTCCCGTCCAATCAGGAGACACAAAAAACTGAGGATGGCGGAATTTCTTCTCACTATACATGATCACCGATGAGCCTTTAGGGGCATAGCCATACTGTTGCCAAAAGAAAAAGATGTGACAACACGTAACTGAAGTGATAAAGTTACATACATGTCAGACTATATTGTTAGAAGCTTGGGGGGGATATTCTTTGCCACTGATGATGTTCTTAATGATGATCTTAAATCAACTTATGATTTAATTTGAACAAGAAATAACCATTATGTGTATCAAAGGGTTCTCTCTCTTTCTCTCTCTCTCTCTCAATCTCTCTATCTATCCCATCTCTACATTCTCCCTCTTTCTGGTATTTCTGGGGGACTTTGCGACTTTAAAGCTTAAGTACAATGATTTAAAATGTATATTCAATATTCTGGTCTTTAATATATAACATTAAAAAACATTCAAATTGACGAAGGTAACCAACATGTAGTGGTTGAGTAGATACCCTATGAAGAAAAAAAAGTCTAAGCATTAATTGTAAATTTGCTAATCATGTTTAGGACAAGAATGTACATCAAATTTGAATTTAACACAGTTTTTTAATTCAAATTTATAGATTGAGGAGTGACCCAAATTCACAGGAGGCACACATGCTTGGACACCTTACCTTATGAGTATCAGCAGATATACTTGTAACACCTTTGACTCTGAAATCAAAGGGAGCTAGAGGGAAACCGGCTTTTTCCATGAAAGGGACAAGGAATCCACCCAAGCACGAATCTACATGCACTGGAATGTTGTAGTAGTCACCGAGCTGAAGAGATTTGTGGGATTAAAAATTATAGTGATTCCAATTTTTAAAGTGATTAGGTAACTGTGACACTCAAATAAATTATACATGTGCAAGGTTCTCACAATTTGATGAAAACAAAATTACATGATAATTCCCTGATTAGATGCTGCTTATAAGTAGTCACTGCTTATAAAGTAGTCAATTATAAGTCGTCACTCCTGTTTGAAACGTCGAGCCACCCCTACCACCCATCCTCGCCAACCGGCGCTATACATGTAGTTCGTCAGCCGGGTGGCAGAAGGGCGTTAGCTCGCAAGCGACCCAAAAACTACTTTTCAATTTATTCGCATTTAAAGATTTATTTTATATTTAAACTGCTTTCCATCCCGACAATTGGTTTAAAACATTGAAGACTAATAGAAATGTTGTAGTAGAACACGGCCACAATTTTTTTCTCGGAAATAAGTCAGTTTTATAAAGTTTGAGGCGATTTAGTGCTAACGCTCTTCTGCTTAAAGTTTCATTATTGACCTGAAATTTGAGCAAACGCCCTTCTGCCAGCCAGGCGACAAGTTCTCCTTAGAACTATATTAAGCTAAGAAAGATAACCAACAGTCCTTTTCAGTTAATTTTGGTGCTCTTTCAGCTAAGGGGAGGGGGTTCGCCCCCACCCCCTTGACCATGGGTTCATGTAAAGTTCTAAAACGTGGGACATACATGTACATAGGGCATCTTTTAATGAATATAGCTTATGAAGTTTCATATTGATACCGTTAAAAGTTTTGGCATTATAGCTATTTAATCATTCAGTCCATCTTTAGGGAATACAAGCCATTATCAAGACAGAAAACATTGCACAGTTGTAAATGACATTGCTAAAAGTAATGAGAACAGTTGATTACCTCTTTGACTTTTTATAAGGAGTGTGAGGCCATAGGAAGAATTGATACTTGAAAAATTGGCAGCATCAGAACTACTTAAATGTTTAAGGATATCAATATTAAAATCCCCAGTAATTTATCAGTTTGAATATTAACATTCAAAATTAACCTTACCTCTGCAATCTTTTCAATAGGGTCCATGACTCCAAATGGAAACATCGGAGCTGAGCCGACCAGCACAGCTGTCCTCTTGTTAATCTTTCTCCTCATTGCCTGTCAAATATTACAGATATAACATACAGAAATTGTTACATGCATATCTAGTTTGAGACCTTACTCAGTATCAAACCCTGATATATATATATTTTGCGTCTCCATGTTCCAGTAAATTAATCCTTACTAATCCTCACTAAAAAAATTCCTTCTATTGATAGATATAAATGTGTAAATTTATATCTATTGATGTGTAAATTTAGAGAACTTGATGTAAATAAATTTATCTTGTACTGTATTCATCACAACTCACAGCCTCAAAATGACAATAAGCGAGTTCGTAAATAGCTCTGGAACGCATGACCCCAAAATATCCACAGATCTTTAACATGATGGATACGTCCCACATGTGCATTTTAGGATAATCACTGCCAAAGGGATGGAGGTGCTTCATGAATACCTTTTGTTTACCTCTTGAGAAGAATACTTCCACCTGTGTATCAGATAAATGTACTGTTGGTGCATAAATGAATACTGATTACATAACTTTCATGAGCACGATCCAAGTATTTGTCTCAATGGTTTTAAAATTTGGGTACGAATGACCTTTATCTGCCCATGCGCAAATCCTAATTACAAACTTGCTTATTGCTCTGCATCAATTTCCCACACTGACCACATTCCTCTAAGCACAACTCTAGACCCAATATGACATGTACACCTCACACACACCCTAACCCAAAGCTTAATCCTAACCCTAATACTAGGCAATTGTCTTTGGAGCAAACGTGGGATAATCATTCTTTTTTGTTCTTTTTTCTCTCTCTCTCTTTCTCCTTTTACCAACATTATTTTGTTCCTCCATATTCGTATTGTTACATATTCATTGAGGGTATAGTCATGCTATCATGCTTACTTTGTCAACCCTCCTGTTTGATTTTTTTTTTATTAGTTACAGCCAGCCTTACTTTATTTGACATTATATTCTTTTGAAATGTGTAAAATTTGCAATGGTTTGTTTGTTATATATTTGTAAAAATGCAAAAGAAAAAGAAAATCAAACAGAAATAAATAAATCATATCAAATCAAATCATAAGACCTACCCTGACATCCGCCTGTTGAGTGACTGGATCTAGAGGCACATGGACAAGCTTCATGCGGAAGTAATGGGCAGCCTTGTCAAACGCAGCATGGGCTGACACTGGGGCAATGCTGTCAACAAGAAAAACAAATACATGTACTCACTTTATAATTGTGAAATGTTATACTGGTTTATCAAATGCTCTGGTGACAATTGCTCCATGGTCAATTTTCGACCCTAACTTCAACCCTGGACCAAGCACCTACTGAAACCTTAGGGTCGTTCAGATATGACACAGCAAAACTGTGGTGGCTTTTATGATGACGCAAAGAGGTGGTTTACCGAACCATATCTGAACAAACCTAAGCCTAAATTGCATTTGTCACCCTAATGTAAAAGAGATAAGGATAAATATAAACGGAGCAAATGTCTGGTCACCCATTATATTATCCCTATCTTTCTGCAGATCTTCATGATGTAGGCTGAGATAAATAACATTTATTTTTGCTTTGTAAATTAACAATATTACATACATGTAGCGCCACCAGGCAAAAAGTGAAGTGGCTAAAAAATATGAAAATCTTTCAGCAAAATGACAAAAATGTTTCAATTTCACCAAAATGAATGATTAAGAAAGGGGTAACAATTGAGCTACACACATCGGAAAAGTGTCTTTTATTCTTACATTTCAGGGTATTCAATGCCTCTCTCTGTAGCCAAATCTCTGTAGGAAGCTAGGGCCATTAAGATGCTTTCTGTCCCACCGGATGTCATCTGAAAGACAAAATTATTATTTATTCATTCAAATATTTGATTGATAAATACAACTTTTTTTTAAGTGAAGCATAACAATCAGAAATAATATACACAATGAACCAAATTAGCAGAACATTCAGAAATTTTAAGCATGGATTGCAGGTCACACTGCATTCACAGTTTATTTGTGATCATCTCTCAGGGAATAATTTTCCTCAAATTTTTTGATTAGCAATTTCAGCCGATGGATGAATATTTAAAATGAAATTCTGTACATTTCTATGGAAGAAAACTGCTACACAAAAGATATTTTGTATAGCAGTCATGCAAAAATGCATAGCAAATTGCGATGCGATACCAGGAAAATTATTCCCTGTCTCTACTCCAATAATGACCGACTTTATTGACCGACTTAAATTCATGACTGTCCATTACCTATTTTTTCCTTTTTCCATGAACAGAATTTGTAGGCGTACGAATACCAAGCCCATCGTCAGTTCAAACTGAAAGGGTGCCATAGCCACACACGACCCACCCCACGATCAAAAATGTTCATTCTTTTTGTTTCGCTAAATTCACTAAGCTACCTTACAGCATCATATGTGAACAAGGCTTAATGGTGGTGGTGGTGATGGAGGAGGGGGGCACAGTATTACCCCTCTGAAGGAGCTGCTACATTTGCCTGTGTAAACATAATGCCTTTTGCGTTCCAGACCTGTCTTTTTGTGCCACTACGTTTCACTAAGCTACCTACAAAATTATATGATTGGCTTCATGAAGATTTTTAAAGTTGATGGCGAATACATAATAAACTAAAAGTTTATTATTTAATCCTGAGTTAGAGGTGTAACTGGCAATCAAGACTAATGCCTGATTCTAACTTACTGTGCCGCAGCCCGACTTAGAAGCATTAAACATCTTAAGCGTCATAGCAACAATCTCGGCCTCCATTTTGCGAACATCTGGGAAAACATCAGGATGAAGAGGGTTGGTCCAGGCAAAGTCTTCATACATCTATCAAAAGGAAATAATATAAAAGTTAGAGGAAAAAAATCAATGCCCATAACCACACTCTTTTCTCACCTCTTAAAGCCCCACTGCACGTCTACTTATAGCTACTTGCGCCCTCTATATAGTAACAACGCCTAATCGGTGACAGTTGGTTTCCCTTGGTCCTCTTTTTCTTATGTTAATTGAGAGTTGATATGATGAGATAACCACCTGTCAGTGACCATGCTGGGAGGTCTAATCCCTCCTGGCCAAACTAGTGCAGATAGGCTTTAAAATTCAGATGAAGAAAAGTAACGCTCACAACCACAAAGACTTTGCTGTGTTTGTTTGGAGGCTCCATACCATGTATGTACTCTGCTTGAAATTATATTCTGTAGAGTGATACTGTAAGTCAACACACATGTGCAGTAAGGTGAAAATTACTTGTACGTGATCCAGTCAATACAACCATCAACACAGAAATAATACACAGGAACAGAGTTCTTCTTCTTCTTCTTCTTCCTTTTGAGTACAGACCTCTTTTACAGAGTATTATCCTACTATACTGGGTGTGTGTGCAGGTGGACCACTACACCGGGGTTTCCCCCTACTCTTATACGAATAGTGCAGTGGGTTCTTAACATGCAAAGGTAGTGACTCTTTTCTACACGGGGCCTCAATTTAACGTCCTATCCGAGGGATGGAGTGTTTTCCACTTGACATAACCTGCGTCTATGAACAAGGGAAGGGGCACGTTAACACACAACGCAGGCTTCAGTCATCCGCCTGGGTGGGAGTCGAACCCAGGATCTTTGGTTCGACAGTCGGACGCTTTACCGACTGAGCCAACTCGCCTCCTTACTGGGTCCAAAAGGTGATGAGCAAAATGTGTACATGTAATTCTTGTGATCTGACATCTCCTCTGGCTACAATTACCTCAGGCTTTACAAAAGTGTAGGGTTAGGGTTTAAAGGGATTGGGTAACATTGCCTCAGATTCTGAAACAAAATCCCGGATTTATCTCATGCTGCAATGACAATTATAAACCTTTAGGTCAGTCAGGAACCCCATGACTTTTACAAGCCGATCGTCTGTCTGATAATCAAGATATTTATGATTGGAAAACTAAATCAAATTTTGCATTTTCCTAACGGTTTTCATTACACTACAGTCTATTGGGGAAAACAAGTATGGAGAAACCAGTCACTCAAAGATTTTTACTTTTTTGAGGCACTTCTTGATCATTTTGAAGCGCAACTTTTGTAGGGCTTCAATATTACACCATTTCACAGACACTGATAACATGAAGGGCAGTGCATCTCAGATTTAAAGATAAACTTTAGTACTGGTAATGCGATTGCATTGTGAAAGAAAAGGTGTAGAAAGGATCAGAAACAGTTGATCATGTAGCATGAAGGTATTGGTGTGCACTGCAAGGTTCTGGAGTCATCAAAATCATACTAAATTTGACCGAGTCTTGGTAAAGTAACAAGCACTGTACACAGAATTCTATATATGGGACAACACACATGGTGTCGGGGCCAGTACTACCTTGATTTCCTTGTCTTTCTATGCTCATTACTCAGCCAGTATACATTTTCTTCCAAAATTGTTTGGCACATGTCATTTATTTGTAATCTTGAACATTCAGTGTAAGTTTTGTTTGATTCTGGGAGAATTAATTTTTTTTTTTTTTTACCAGAACTGGAGTTTATCTTTAACGGTGTTAAACGATGCCTTTAAAGCTGTTTAGGGTAAGGGTTAGGGTTAAATGTAGTTTTGGATCTAAGACTGAAGTAAGGATTTGGGTTAGTGTTAGAAACAGACCGAGGAGCCATTGTTGCAGGAGAATCTGCCGTACACTCGTAATTTGACTGAGAGAACTTACCGTGGCTGCTAGTGCTGCTAACTCATCTGTTCCTGCATACACACAGCCAGACACCTTGCCCCCTTTCCAATCAATACCCCCTACGGAGACAGAGAAGAAGGAGGTTACAAATGCTAGCAATCAGGGATAATACAATGAAATCTGTCTATAAAGACCACCCAAGGGAGACAAGAAAAGTGGTCTTTATAGGCAGGTGGTATATATGTACAGGGTCTTTTTGTACATGCTTCAATGAGAAACCATTTCCAAAGGAGACAAAACATGTGGTATCTGTTCACAGGTGGTCGCTAAAGCAAGATTAATAATACAATCAAACTTGCTTTAGAGAACACCTGCAGAGAAAGGCCACTAGGATAGAAAGACCACCTCTTTAAATAGACCCCCTTTTTGCTTCCCTTGATTGTTCCCCATTAAAATCTGCACTAAAAGAACCTGTACATAGAGACCACTTGTCTGTAAAGACTGCTTTTTGTTGACCCGTTACACCTAAAAGAGGGTCTGGGGCCTGCCCTGGGGTCAGCCCCAAAAGGTGGCCCTAAAACTGGCCTCACTTTTACACTAGCCTACGCTGCGGTTTGAAAAGGTGGCCCCTTCTATATGACCCGGAAGGGGGGGGGGGGGCTTCACATAAAACAAATATAGAAAACTAGAGTCTAAGGAAAAATACTGAAATACCTAACAAAATGTAGAAATAGATGACGTCATTATATGAGCGATCCTGTAGACTTACCCATGGGCTTGTAGTCTTTATTGACTTTATTCAAGATATTCTCTCTGGTAAGCCCTTTTGCAGGTAGCTCTGTGATATAGCTATCACCTGGCTTCAGAGGAAAAAGGTCTCTGGCAATGTCTGATACATTCTTGTCTATCTCTGCTTTGATCTATATACATAGAGAGAGAGAGAGAGAGAGAGAGAGAGAGAGAGAGAGAGAGAGAGAGAGAGAGAGAGAGAGAGAGCATGTACATGTACTGGTCAACATTTAACAGTTTTGTGAATTGAATCATATTTCCATCACAATTTGTTTTCTCATTGACGTAATTCATAAGATGTGGTACATACAAGAAATTACAATCAATTTTTTTTTTAACAAACTCTAATTTGAAAATGAGCTCTTTCAACTCTCTTTATTTATGTTCTCTAAGATATTTGCTACAACTTTGTTCTATTTTATATTGACTCATACTATGTCATATCTTTGACTTTAATGACATAAACTTCTTTTACATGAAACATCGAACCCATAAAAGATTGCTCCTATAGAAACATCACAGGTAATTTCAGCTTGACCACAAACTAATATCAGTATCTTTAGAAATAGAGTGTGGTTGATGAATCATCCAAGGACACATTCACTATTTCAATATGAATAATAGTGATAGAACTTGCAAGGTATTTTGAATAAAAGTAATTAATGCAACTATGATGAAATTATCTATACGTAGGTACAAAGATCAACGATTCACTTTACCTTGTCTTTTATAATTGGAAGACTTTTCACAAACTTGAAAAAGTTTTGCACGATGCGCTGCTTTATGGCTGTAGGGGAAAAAAGAGGGGGGAAAAGATGAAGGTTTTAATGTAAGTGATTTGTAAACTGTATTTTGTCTTCCAAAATTAAATTACATAATTATTAAATAAATTTATTTTTTAATTTGGCCTTTTCATTTTGATCTGTGGTACCGGTAATTTCTTTATCCATTAAAGAAGAATTTCTTATTCTTTTAATGCATATCCCACAGATACCATCAGAAGTTCTTTCAAGATTATTATTGAACAGAATGATTTTTTTTTGTCCATTTGGATCATACCTGAATGGAAAAAAAGTTTTAAATCATTGCCTATTGGAATGGGTTGGCTTGTGTATTAAACATATGGGAATGAGAGACTTCAATAGTCAATGGGTTCACTTAGTGACCAGTATGAAATACTCTATCATGACTCATTCAGGCAAACTGAGGAAAACTGAATTAGAAAAATCATTTATTTGTCAAAGTTACTGTGAAATTCACTATCACTCAAAGCCCCTATACACCGATTCGGTTTGGGGGTTTTATGTACCTGCCCGCCGGTGGCGGCGCTATAACTGGGGGGCTTCTCCGATCCAGCTGACAGTACAGAGAGCTCGAGAGCGGTTACTAGCTAGCGGAGCAGCGACCCTGGCCGGCCTGGGCGAGGTTCGGTATAGGTATAGCATACCCGTTGCAATGTAAGCTAGCTAGCTGCAGTCAGACGCCCCCCAGTTATGGCGTCACCTTATGAGGGCGCACTTCCACCAGAAGTCGCCCGAATCGGTGTATAAAGGATTTGTCGGTAACAGACTAACAGCAAGATAAGTTTATGACAGTATGTACAAATTTCAGATCAAACAACTCTATGGTGTTTCTCTAGAGCTATGAGTAAAAGTTGAAGCCCTAAGTTTGTACACTCCAAATGGGAGAACACAACACTGTCAGTCGCAATTCAAAGTTGAAGGGAGAAAAATTGAATATTTTGCCACCATACTTTCAGGAAAGTTTTTAATTATGGTTATTTTAACAAAATTTTGGGCCTTTTACAAGTTTTGAGATTTTTATGGTGCAAATCCCTGCAACACCATTTAAGGGCCGTCCAGGAAAAAAAAAAAACGATCCCAGAGCATGGGCAAAACGATGATGATGATAATGACAGGCTTAATGTTTTATTACTTCTTATCTCTATCGATTCCTGAGCAACTCTAGGGATGAATAAAGGCTTGTTCCTGACAAATTTCAGGGATATATTATCTTAGAATGTCAAACCAGGAAGCTGTAATGAATGGAGATCCCGTCCAAGAGGCCCCTTTGAAGTCATCCGTGGCACCGCGCGTCTTTTGTTTCCCCTACCGTAATCCCCTTAATCCCCCTCCAAAACCTTACAGCTCCCTAGTAGCACTAAGTCCTCCCTTTCTACACACAGCCCAGCCCAGCGAGCACGGCGGCTTTTGCTTTGCCGGCCCGTACTTTGGGTGAATAGTGGTGCTAACTTGACAACTTCTAGCCCTAAATCAATAAATGCGCAAACATATAACACAATTTCATTTAGTTCTTTAGGAAGATAAACCTTTGGACTACCTTCCTAGCTATGTACAAATTTCGGAAATTTTCGGAAAATGTCAATAATTAGATGAGAAAATCATGATTATGAAAATCTTTCATTTGCTCTAACTCATGATTTCCTTGGTCGATTTCGCTGGTTAAAATGGCCATGTCTTCAGTAGAGCTATCCGAGAACGGAAAACGCATTTGATGACTAATAGAAAGTTGCATTGGTCATAATGTTGTGAATTCTGCATTTTATATGTTATAGCTAAATACATCTTCCATGAACATGACTTAATTTGTCGGTGCCACGCATGGCTTCAAAGCCCGATGCTTGCATATTTTTGCAAACGAGTGAATAGAGAACTTAGGGAAGCAGATGGCGTTGCGTAACATTTCGTACTATTTGGAATGCCAGAGAGGGACTGTGCATTGATATGGACAGCTGTTGATGGAAATGATGGCTGGAGAGGGTTACATTTCTTTTTGTTAAGCCAGGTTAATCTTGAATAATTTTCCCTCGGAAAATTCTTTCGAGACGGTATCTCCATTCATTACAGCTTCCTGGTCAAACTCATTGGCAATTCAACAATTTGTAAAACCATATAGAAATCTAAAATCTTTAAACATGCTTTCCATATGGATTTAATCCTGAGATATCTCATAAGTCACATGATTAATCACATGACCAATCACATGACTAATCATACTTACTAAGCCTGGGATGACACAGGAAGTTGTAGAGCCAGTTCAATAGCAATGTGACCCCAACAGAGTAGGCAATGATCTGCCATGCCTCTAATCCTGAGCAAAGTTCATTGACCTTTCTTCTTGTTTCATCTGCATAGAGCAGTGCTATCTCCTGTAATGAAATAATGTAAAATAGAAATATACATATTTTTTTAAATTATAAAGTCTGTTACCAGAAAGTTGTTGAGTGGAACTCTGGGTGCTCAGATATTTGACCTGGGCTCTATTTCACAAAGGTATTGAGTTAGGTTAGGGTCAAGGTTGCTATTGGGATTTAAGCTAGGTTTGTCAGCTCAGGGCTCTTATACATGTACAGGCTTGATGCCCACTATCAAAGGAGTTGATTATTATCAGGGACGGATCTAGCTTTGTGCCAAGGGGGGGGGGGGGGGGTTAAACCACCGAAGCACCCCCCCCCCCCCCCCACCTAGATCTGCCCCTGATTATGGCAAGCTTGTACCCATGTATAGAATTGGTTACAATAGGTTTAGTGTGCATTAGCAGTGATTGTATAAGGGTAGATCATAGCTATCAAACTCAAAGGAGAAAATGATTCCTTACTTAATTTTCATCTTGTTAACTCCAAAGTTTGTGGCAGAGTATAAAGGAAGGAAGAGGTCATGAATCAGATCATATAGCAAATCCTATGGCTATGGCTATGTATAATAGACTCATTACCATTGTTGTAAAGTCAGCATCAAATTGGTAACACAAAATCATGCATTTTAGCATAGGTCTAGATCTACATCACCATGATCACATGTATTTGCGTTTCCGGCAGAAACATGCAAGGTCTGTGTTTTAGTAATGAAAATGGCAGGTTAGCTCATTATCATCTGATATATGTGGAAGGTAAGCAAAGGTCCATCACTCTCTAGTCACAAATTTCCACATTTTCGGGGTTAAATGCAGTAATAAAATTGTAGGCCTAGATTCTAGACCTATACTATTACTATAGGAAAAGAGTTTACTTTGGCTTAAAAGTTAAATAATAAATAACTTATTTATCTGTTTATTTAGTGTAACTCTAACAGATTATGGACAGAAACTAAGTTAACATTATCAAAGGGATGACTAATCAACGCAAAAAGGAAATGACAAAACACAAAAAGCTCACGTGCACGTCAAGCCCTTGACCTCCAATACAAACTTCTGATAAGAACAGATTAATCAAACATTCGAAAAATTAGCAATCTCACTCACACAAAAATACACGTACGGGACTATTTCAACCACCACAACACATCAATCATTGTATTTTTTCATTAAAAAATAAAAAGTTCCGCAGAAATTCTCATTAATTTTGCTTCAGTGTCCTAGTCAACAATGTTTTTTAAAACTTAAAACAATAATTACCTTATATTCGTCCATAGAAATCGATGAATAGTGGGACAGCTTCTCCGACAAATCAGACCGACTTGCGTTGATCTGTAAAGTGCGCGTAGGTACTACTAGTAGGCACGTGAACAGCTGATTTTGTACGTTACATCATATCGGAACGAGTGATGCAGGGCCAGGGAGGCATATTTTAATACCCTCAAAATAGGGGGGGGGGGCAGGTCGAAATTCCATTAGGATCCGATCCTATTGGACCATCAGAAACCATTAGAGCTATTGGTGTCTAATGGTTTCAATAGGGAAAGTGAAATGATGGACCCACAGAAACCATTAGAAAATATCTATTGGACCAACACAAACCCACAGAAAGAAATGCTGATGGACCAACAGAAAGCTTCTATTGGACCAGCATCCACCCATGTCTTCTATGGGTTTCTGTTGGTCCATTAGATATTTTCTTCTATGATGGGTTTCTGTTGGTCCATTAGTTATTGTCTATGGGTTCCTGTTGGTCCATTAGAGATGTTTCTATGGGTTTCTAATGGTCCCATATCCTGAATTCCCTTTAAAACCAATAGTCCAATGGCTCCTATTGGTAAATCGATTTTAGCAACTGTCCACCAAAAAAAGTATATTCTAATCTCAATTGCATTAACTTCGTCACAAAGATCATTTGAAGTGAGTTTAAGAATATCCTTTAGTTAAAAGGTCTTGTACTATTCTATATAATAAACATACATGAATTGTTTCTTGGTTAGTAATCATTATAATCAATATATCTATTGCTAAAACGTGAATGAAATTGTAACATGATTAAACAAATAATCTATTGGTCATTAGTTGCCGAAAGAAAATAAAAATCACAAAATTGATGTACATTGTCATAAGTTGCTTAACAAATTATGATCAATGTAATTTTCTGTGAACACGTATAAAGTAATCATGAATATGCATAAGATAGATTTAGCTGTTGGTTTCTATTGGTTTCTATTGGACCTATTGGTTTCTATTGGTCCCATTGGGTTCTATTGGTCTCATTGGTTTTCTATTGGTCCTATCGGTCCTATTGGTCCTATTGGTCCTTTCGGTTCTATTGGTTTATGTTTGTCTTATTGGTTTATATTGGTCATATTGGTTTCTATTGGTCTTATTGGTTTCTATTTCTATTGGTTTCTATTGGTTTCTGATGGTTTGAATGGTCTCTATTGGATTCAGTTTTATGGGTCCAACAGAAACCAATAGACTCCAACAGAAACCATTAGAGACCAATAGAATTTTTCTGATGGTCTCTATTGGTCTCTATGGGATTTTCGACCTGGGGTGGGGGGATGATTAAAATTAGATGAATAAAGACTTTTAACACAAATCTATCAAACGGGAAGGAGCGATTTCTTGCCATGACCGGGAGACGCGACATTCGAAGAAGCTTAGCGACCTCACGGGGAAGAGGAGTGTACTAAGGAGCGGCCTACAGCCCCCCCCCCCCTTATAAAAGATTTTACTTTCTTCAGTATAAAGCTCTTCATGATCGACGCTCTAGTAAAGTGTAATTATCATTTTGCAAAGTTGCCAAGCTTTCGACTGAGATTTTAACAAAATGTTCGCGTTATAGACTTATATTTGAGAGCATTTTTATCACAAAATTAGTTAAATCACTTTTCGTACTAAATAGCGTTTCGTAAGGGGGGGGGTGTGAGCAACACCTTGGATCATTTATGAATGAATGCCACTTTTTAAGTCAGTGTCGAGCAAAAACGAAATATATTGTACCCCAAAATATTCACAATTGAAAGTGATACACGCCTAAAACTAAAACTAAAACAACAACCCATTTTCATTCCCCTAAATGTGTTTTATAAATCACTGTTTGTTGCATAATTATGACCTGAGGATGAATGAACACGCGTATATGCGTACAGCGAGGTTTTATCATGAGTTGGTGATAACTAGCGTTGGCCTAATTAGTAAACCAACATTGTTCACTTATCTAATGGGGGTTGGGAAGATTCTAGATAAGAATTATCGTATTATAGAACAATCAAAACCTCTGGGGCCAGTTTCTCGAAACCGTCATCAATCTAAGTTCGTAGACATTCCATGGGTGTGTTAACTCTATAACACACCCTTCAATAGGATGTCGATCTAAGAAGTTAGACTTATAACGGTTTCGAGAAACGGCCCCTTGCTGCTTCCTACATCAAGATAAAGGATTAATACCGACCTTTGTAATTTGAGCGTCACAAATAATCAGCTCGTGCTAGCCGGGAATAATTACTAATGAATGTACCATTACAGGTATGGCGCGAGAGGGGTTGATGTGCCAAGTAAGCCCCTCCCACAAAATAACTAAAATGTCAATTCTTCAAGAAGTATGACATATGATGGTCCTTTTTAAAGGACTTATACCAGGGGCGGCCGAGCGACTTCCAAAGTGGGGGGGGGGGCACCAACAAAAAGGGCACTTTCTGGGAAAAAAGGGCACCTACAGTGGGAAATCTCAAAGCGAAAATATACAATTTTTTTAGACATTGGTATATACCTCTACATTGTGATTACATTATCAGGGATGATTTCAATATTTGTTTCTCTTCATACATCATACAAGATATCGCTTAAGCATCATACTTTACAGTTGGGTGTGATGTCTGAATATGCATTTACGAGCGAGCGAAGCGAGCGAAGCGAGCGAGAAAAAATTTAAAGATCTGTAAGGTTGCAGTGCGAAAAATTACATCTTATGAAGAGGGAAAAAGCCAATCGTGATGAGGTTATATTCACATTCCCATAACGGAAGACTGAAAAGACCTTTGATAAGTAACATAATTATATCATCTTTAAATGCGAGCGAGCGCAGCGAGCGAACTTGGGGGAAATTGCTCTTAGTCGCTTTAAATAAGGGGCACGTTTAATGATTACGTGAAAAAGGAACAATTATCGAAAGGGATAAGACACTTATTAGAAAAGAAAAGGAGCACGTGTCAAAGTACAAAGGATAAGAGGTGAAAATGAGGCATTTTTCACCTGAAAAGAGCCACTCACCAGTGATGAAAAAGAGGCGTTTACGAAATTGGAAATAGGCATTTGTTGACCGAAAAGGGGCACCCATCATATTTTGATAGGGGCATTTATAAGAGGTGAAAAGGGTATAGGTCCCTTATTAGAAAGGAAAAGGGGCACGTATCATTATTAAAAGGGGAATTATCAGAGTTGAAAAGGGGCACTGACCAGATATGAAAAGGGGCACTTATGGAAATGTAAAAGGGGCACTTATAATAAAGGAAATTGTGCATTTGTTGAATGAAAAGGGGCACCGTTCAGATTTTTAAAAGGGGCAGTTTTGAGAAGGGGAAGGAGCTCTTTCTTTTTAATGGGGGCACTTATCATAAGGAAAAAGGGCACTTATTAGAAAGGGAAAGGGGTAGTTATGAGAAGGGGAAGGAGCTCTCTCTTTTTAATGGGGGCACTTATCATAAGGAAAAGGGGCACTTTTCCTATGTAAAAAGGGGCACTTTTGGGGTATCTGAAAAAGAGGGGGGCCGCCTCTGACTTATACTAATAATCTAGCCATAATGTAATTTTGATTTTATCCCAGGAGAAGGCGCTTAGGAGAAATACAGGAATTGGTTATATTGTTGAACATGACAAACGGGAGCGTTGTCCGTGCCTAGACGTCACAATCAACTGACCAACTTGTCAAATTTGCGATCCCCAGAATGTAGTGATTTGATGGGTGCATCATTCATAACTTTCTTATTATTGTTTTCTACAATCTGTTTCAAATTTTCCGCTTCATACAAATGAATTAATCAAAGGTTTGGATTTCTGGTTAAATTGACTTTAAAGTTTACTCATGAGGTCAAACACGATATTTCACATTTTTAAATGAATCTTACCTCAGAAAGTACAAAGTGAGGAAACCTTGAATTCAATAATATAGTGATAATAAAGTTGTAATAATAACATAGATAAAGACAAATATCAAGAAGTAATTAGGCTATTTCACATCGATTCTCTGGTTCTATGTTATTATTTGATATTGCACATAGAAGAAGAGATACAAAAGTAGCAATCAATAGATGAAAATGCAAGTGGAAACAAAACATCCTGTTATGTGTCACTCTTTCACTCTATCTACCTCTGATGATTATTTTTATGATAAGGAGCTTGTAATTTGACTCAATTGTATTTTTTTTCCCCTCATAATTTCTGATGTTTAAAATACTAAGTGCGACTGTTATTAAGAGTTATTTACACATTTTGTATTCTTGTTATTTTGATTTGTATTACGAATTATTTTTGTTTTGATTATATATTTATATTGTGTGAATGTTTTTAACGGACTTATGGCTGATTGCAACTGTTTTAACCGTGGTTAAATAAAACAAACAAACAGACAAACAAATTAATTATGTATCTCTCTCTCTGTAGTTACCTTGAGTTTGAAAACTCATACATTGCCAAAACCATTATACAAATTATTCTTCGACAAAGAGCAATTAATTACCTTGGACTAGAGACAGGACGTTTGATAGCTGTGAAATCGAGCACGATTATATTAATTTTATAAAAAGGGCACAGTAAGTTCTTCTCAAACTTTGAGCATTGTTGTGTCCCCTGCCGTAAGCCCTTCCCGGCTCCACTGGCTTTCATCTGAGTGGTAGAAAAAAATTTCCCGTTATTAAACAAAACTGCTCCGATTCTTTGAAACTAGATTTGGCACTAGATGACCGCAAAATCGCAAAATTGCACAATTTGTAAGCCACAGTGGAAAATATAGGTAAAAATGAGCAATTATCAAAGGGCAATTAGATCAAAAGTATCAAGGGGAACTTATAATTAGTTGGAATAGGGACATATCAGAGGGGAAAAGGGGGCACATTTGAAAAAAAGGGGATGGGTCATTTATTAGAAAGGAAAAACATTGACACTTATCAGAAGGGAGAGGGCTATTTTACTAAAAAGGAAAGGGGCACCTGTAAAAGTAAAAGGGTACCGGTATAAGGGTACTTATCAGAGATGAAAAGGGAAAATTTTCATATTAAAGGTACTATGTCCCTTTTGCAGCCAACATCAAATTCTGTAGAACTTTGCAGGAATTATGAATAT